GAGTAGTCCCCACTCGCCGCAACTAGAGAAAGCCCGTGTACAGTAACAAAGACCCAATGCAGGCACAAAAAAAAAGACCCAGTGGGCTTCCCTGGTGGCACAGTGGTTGAGAGTCCGCCTGCCAATGCAGGGAACACGGATTCGTGCCCCGCCCCGGGAAGATCCCACATGCCGCGGAGTGGCTGGGCCCGTGAGCCATGGCCACTGAGCCTGCCCGTCCGGAGCCTGTGCTCTGCAACGGGAGAGGCCAAAACAGTGAGAGCCCCGAAAAAAAAAAAAAAAAAAAAAAAAAAAAGACCCAGCACAGCCAAATAAATAAATATTTTTTTTGGAAAAGGAATGAAATTGGACCCCTATTTACCCACTCACAAAAATTAACTCAAAATGGATTAAAGATTTAAATGTAAGATCTGAAACTGTAAAACTCCTAGTAAAAAACATAGGGAAAAATCTCTTCGACATTGGTCTTGGCAATGATATTTGGATAAGATGCCGAAAGCATAGGCAACAAAAGCAAAATTATACAAGTGATTCTACATCAAATGAAAAACCTTTTCTGCACAGCAAAGGAAACAGTCAAAAAAATGAAAAGGCAATCTACAGAATGGGAGAAAGTATTTGGAAACCATGTATCTGACCAGGGGTTAATATCTAGGAGCTCGTAACTCAATAACAAAAACGAAAAACAAATAATCCAATTTAAAAATGGGCAAGAGAACTGAATAGACATTTTTCCAAAAAAGACATACAAGTGGCCAACAGGTACATGAAAAGGTGCTCAACATCATTAATCAACAGCGAAGTGCAGAGACACCACTTCACACCTGTTAGAATGGCTATCATCAAAAAGACAATAGATAAGAAATGTTGGCAAGGATGTGGAGAAAGGGGTACCCTGTACACTGTTGATGGAAAAGTAAACTGGTACAGCCGCTATGGAAAACAGTATGGAAGTTCCTCAAAAAAGTAAAAATAGAACTACCATATTCTCCAGCAATCCCACTTCTGGGAATATATCTGAAGAAAGCAAAATCAGTATCCCAAAGAGATATCTGCACTACCATGTCCACTGCAGCATTATTCGTGATAGCCAAGATATGAAAACAACCTAAGTGTCCATTGACAAATGAATGGATAAATAAAATGTAGTATACAATGGAATATTATTCAGCCATAAAAAAAGAAGAAATCCTGCCATTTGTGATGACACAGATGAAACTTGAGGTCATTATGCTAAGTGAAATAAGCCAGAAGAGAAAGACAAATACTCTATGGTATCACTTACATGTGGAATCTAAGAAAAAAGTCAAACTTATAGAAACAGAGAGTAGAATGGTGGTTACCAGGGGCTGGTGGGTGGGGGAAATGGGAAAAGTTTGGTCAAAGGGTACAAACTGTCAGTTATAACATGAATAAACTTGGAGGGTCTAATGTTCATCATGGTGAAGATAGTTAATAATACTGTAATGTATACTTGAAATTTGCTGAGAAAGTAGATCTTAAGCATTCTTGCAAAAAAAAAAAAAGTAACTGTATGAGGTGATGGAAGTGTTAATTAACTTAATTGTAGGAATCATTTCATAATGTGTATGTATATCAAATCATTATGTTTTACACTTTAAATATATGCAATTTTATTCATCAAGTATAACTCAATTTAAAAAACCCCACAGAATGAATGCCTTTCTAGCTGAAGCAGAATCTTTACAAGGGGGTGACAGACAAAACTGTTAAGCGAAGCCTGATTGTTTTAGGGCTTGGATTACAGGCTAAGGAGTTTCTGTGTCATTATTCAGGCAGTGGGGAACTACTGAAGGTTTTTAATGATGGAGCAGTGTGATAAAGGCAGACATTTGGGGGACTTCCCTGGTGGCGCAGTGGTTAAGAATCCTCCAAGAATCCTGCCAATGCAGGGGACATGGGTTAGCGCCCTGGTCCAGGAAGATCCCACATGCCGAGGAGCAACTAAGCCCATGTGCCACAACCACTGAGCCTGCGCTCTAGAGCCCGCGAGCCACAACTACTGAGCCCGCATGCCACAACTACTGAAGCCCATGAAGCTAGAGCCTGTGCTCTGTGACGAGAAGCCACCGCAATGAGAAGCCCACCCACTGCAACAAAAAGTAGGCCCCGCTCGCCACAACTAGAGAAAGCCTACGCACAGCAACGAAGATCCAACACAGCCAATAACTTAATTAATTAACTTAATTAAATTAAATAATAAAGCCAGACATTTGGAGAAAAGAGTCTGACTGCAGGCTGAGCAGATCCAGTGGGGGTTTCTTTGATAGCTCAGGTATGAGGGTCTAAGGACTGCTTGAGGGTACTGTCTCTGGGAACAGAATAGCAGATGGGAGAGACTTTGAAAAAAAAATACATAATAAAAGATGAGGCACAAAAGTATACAAGATGACTCAGAAAATGACAGTGGTATCTGGATCATTTGGGAGACTGAAGCTCCAAGAGCTACTTGCCCAGAGTGGACCAACAATGTTCATTATTTGGTTGAGAGGATAGCAGCCCTTGTGGTTTGTGAGTAGCATTCTGTGGATGGAAACATCTCTACTGAAACTGAAAGCCCCAAACCTAAGTTCTTTTATTTATTTATTTATTTATTTATGGCTGTGTAGGGTCTTCATTGCAGAGCGCAGGCTTCTCATTGCAGTGGCTTCCCTTGTTGCGGAGCACAGGCTCTAGGCACACGGGCTTCAGCAGTTGCAGCACGCAGGCTCAGTAGTTGTGGCTCGCAAGCTCTAGAGCGCAGGCTCAGTAGTCGTGGCGCACGAGCTTAGTTGCTCTGCGGCATGTGGGAGCTTCCCGGACCAGGGCTCGAACCCGTGTCTCCTGCATTGGCAGGTGGATTCTTAACCACTTCACCACCAGGGAAGCCCCCAAACCTAATTTCTAAAGTCAGGAAGCTGCCCTAAATGTGTATCTCTTGGCCAAATTGCGTTTACCTGGCTATGGCAATGAGAGAAATTAATCTTTGCTAAAGCAAACCAAATATCAAACTTACTAAATCACAGACTTATTCACAGTAGAAACTCAGGCTGATATGCAGGGGCAAGAGGGAGATTTCATCAGAAAGAAAGAGTTCTGATTCCGGAATTGTCTATACTCATCCAACAATCATTTATTATGCATTTGATATTTTAGGGTTTGTGACACTTCTCAGCTGTTTACAAAAAATGAGACGGGCATATCTCCCATTACTAAATGATGTTGCATCACAGGAAGGAAGCACAGAACTTTGCACATTAACTTCACAGAGCTACTATGACTTGCGGAATGATGATCATGCTGACACGGACTGGGAAGTGTTGAAAGCGTAGATGATCGGGGGTGGGGGGAAGGCAAGGGTATGATGACAAACATGACCAGAGAACTCAGTAGAGATGTTTCAAAGCTAGGGATTTCTAATTGGGAATCTAGAATCATAGTAATGGATGAGATCGCTAAGGCAGCAGTTCTCAAAAATGTTCATAATAATACTAAGATGTCATTTGACCTTCTCACACTCATTCCCTCTTGAGTGTAGAGTGGAGTTTCCCAGAGCTATAAGACATGCAATATCACAACAGGTTGAATGTAGAAGCAAATATGAGGATCCTGCTATTAAGCCAGACCTTAAAGATATTTGCAAAAATGTTACATAATGCCATTCTTCTCACTGTTTTTGTTTTGGAAATTATAGTTATTTTTCATAGAACATAACATTAATATTAGCAAGTATTGAGTTTATTATTTATTTTTTTAAAATATTCATTTATTTATTTGGCTGCTTCGGGTCTTAGTTGCAGCACATGGGATCTTTGTTGCAGCATGTGGGATCTTAGTTCCCCCACCAGGGATTGAACCCGCGTTGCCTGCATTGGAAGGTGGCTTCTTAACCACTGTACCACCAGGGAATTCCCTACTATTGTTAATTTTAAATTAATTAAAATATATAAATATTTTAAAAGATTTTAATCTTTTAAAACAAACTTTAATTTTTAGAACAGTTTTAGATTTATAGAAAAATTACAAAGATAGTACAGAGAGTGCCCAGGTACCTCACACCCAGTTTCCCCTATTTTTAACATCTTCCTTTCATTACAAATGTGTGGTGCATTTGCCAAAATTAATGAACCAATATTGACATTATTATTATTTAATAAGATCCATATGTTATTCAGATCTCCTCACTTTTCCCCTAGTGTTCTTTATCTTTTCCAGGATCCCATCCAGGATACAACATTACATTTAGTTGTCATGACTCCTTAGGTGCCTCTTGGCCGTGACAGTTTCTCAGACTTTCCCTGGTTTTGAATGACCTTGACAGCCTTGTGGAGTGATTACTAGTCAGGTATTTTGTAGAATGTCCCTCTGATGGAATTGGTCTGATGTTTTTCTTATAGTTAGACTTGGGTTATGTGGAGGAAAACCACAGAGGTGTTGTCATTTTCATCACATTGTATCAAGCGTACACACTAGCAACATGACTTATCACTGTTGATGCTCACCTTGATCCACTGACTGAGGTTTGTCAGGTTTCTCCACTGTAAAGTTACTCCCCTCTCCCCCTCACACTCTTCTGTTTTGTACTCTGGAAGTCACAACCTGCAGCCCTCACCTAAGGAATGGGGAGTTATACTCCACCTCCTCAAGGGTGAAGTAAATTATTTGGAATTGTTCTGTATGGGAGATCTGTCTCTTCTCCCCATATATTTATTTACCAATCATTTATTTATATCAGTATGGACTCAAGCACATTTACACTATACTTTGGGTTATAATCCAAAACTATTTTGTTGCTCAAATTGTCCAGCTTTGGCCACTGGGAGCACTTTCACTTTGGCTCTTGTGTTCATTTTAATTTTCAACATGGATAGATATAACCCATATAAATAAAAGCTCTTTCTTTATTTGCAGTACGCGGGCCTCTCACTGTTGTGGTCTCTCCCGTTGCGGGCCCAGCCGCTCCGCGGTATGTGGGATTCTCCCGGACCGGGGCACGAACCCGCGTCCTCTGCATCGGCAGGCGGACTCTCAACCACTGCGCCACCAGGCAAGCCCCTAAATAGAAGCTCTTTGGGGTCCTTGATAATTTTTGAGTGTAAAGGGATACTGAGACCCCGGAAGTTTCAGAAACTCTGCTCTAACGTACCCCCACCTGACCCCAACACCAGGTGTGGGCGTGGTTCTTCTGCAGGAAGAGGCTGCAGACAGGGCAGAAGCAATGCAGGCCACACTCCCCGCACCCATGGGGACATCCACTTCTCCGTGCCACCCACTCCCTCCTAAGGTTTTCGACGCTCACGCTGCCATGCCTTTCTAGGAAACGCCACTGCGGGGCGCACGTCCCACAGAGTGAGTCACCCACCAGAGAGTCAAGAAGGGGCAGGCATCTTGGCTCAGGCTCAAGAGTTTTCCTACGCGGAGCCCGCGCCTTGGCCTGGCCTGATGGGTCTCCTCCCCGCGCCAGGCTCTGTAGGCTCGCCCTCCTGGGGCACAACGGGCGTGTAGGTGTGGCGCCAGTGGAAAAGAGCGCTCCTGCGGCAGTCGCGGGGTGCGCAAGGAGGAGCTGGCGGGATCTCCAAACTTCAAAAGCGCACCCCCTATGGCCTCTACCTGCCCAATCCCCGCTGAAAGCGGCCGCACAGCTCCCCACCCTCCTCTAGCTGGCCGGGCTGGCTGGGCTAGGCCTTTCTTCTGCAAGCGCACAAAGATAGAGATAAACGGCTGCAGCTGGAGACCAGACTAATTGATACAATAAGTTCTACAATTGCCTCGAAAATAAGGTAATGATCTGGCAGAGGGAATGCTTTGATCTTATCAGCCAAGAAAGACCTCTCCAACTTGAAGGCCTCTAACTTGAAGTGTGAAATCCAGGAACTGCCTGCTTGCTCTCCGCTCCTCCCCCATATCCCTGCTCCCTGCCTGACACTAAGGCTTTTCCGGAAGGGATGGAAAGACCCTTCTCCGAAAATCTGGAGAAGAAAATATGCATGGAGAAGGGGTTGCTTCTGGGATGTTCGGCAACAGGGGGATGGCTGGAATTATTTCTCCAGCCCTAAAGAAGCTGTAGAAGAGCGGACAGGGGGGTGGGGGAAGGGGGAGGAACAGACTGGGATTATGAAAACCCTGATTTGGTTCAAGCGCGATGAGGTTTCTTATACAGTGAGGGCTTGACTTGGGCTTTCGGGCAGGAGAGGGTAACAGAGGGAGGAGAACCTTGGTCCTGCCTTCTCCAAGAATCTGCACACACACACACACACACACACCACGCACACACACCCCTCTTGCTCTGCTTGCTCTGTGGGTGTCCCTGCCTGGCAGAGGCCCCAGCACAAAGAGGATTAGAGAGATGAGCTAATCTGGTTTGTATCCCAGACATGGCCCCAGAAAGGGACCTTGTCTACCCTGATGTTTAAGAGGGTAAAGGAGTGAGGGGGGTCCTCCTTTTGGGGCCTGCTGGCTGACAGTATCCGAGACTCCTTCTCACTGAGGTCTGAAGGAGGCTGGAGTCCTAACTTCAGGGTGGAATTTAGAGAGCAGAGAGGCAGAACCCTCAGAAGACAGGATGGACTATGCTACAAGAAAAAAGAGATAAAGACAGAAGGAGGCCCTGACGGAGGGAAGTAGATATCCACCTTGCTTGTTTCACCAGCGAGGAAACTGAGGCCAGGAGTGGGAAAGTGACTTAGAGAGTCATGCAAATCATGTGTGGTTGAGCTGGGGAGAAAATACTCTGATTTCTTTCAGTCCAATGCACTTTGTACTGTGTTGGAGGGACTGCAGAAGAAGGTGTGAGACAGAGGGAAAGAGAAAGAGAGAAACAGACACAAAGAGAAACAAAGATACACACCGAGAAAAATATAGAGAGGAACACACACACACACACAGAGTCAGAAAAGACACGGAGAGATGAAGTGAGTGAAAGAATGAGAGACAGTCATACAGATTCATAGAGAGAAAGATGGAGAGACAGAGATACACACCAAGAGTCAAGGAGTGACAGAGATTGAAAGAGGGACAGAGGTTCCAACAGAGGAGGAAAGGCTGTCAGATACAGACACACAGAGAGACAAATGAAGACAGAAAGACAAACAACAAGAGGAATAGACACTGAATGACAGAAATATGAGCCAGAGACAGACCCGGAGAGATGGAGACACGGAAGAGAGAGAGGCAGAGTGGACCAAGGAAGGCAGAGTGGAGGGAGGCAGATCGTGGGCTCTGCAGATTGTTCCACTGGAAGCAAATCTCACTTCCAGATTGTTCTGGGGCCTAAAACAGGTGGTGGGGAGAGAAAGAGAGCTCAGTGTGTAGCCTATCTGACATAGGCAGATTGTGAGGGGGGGCTGGGGGCCACGTGGGACCACCCTCCCTTGGGGTTAGGCTGGTCAGTGACCACCCAGGATCCCAGCAGCACACCCACTGGCCTCACACAGAACCTGGGCCACCCGCCCAGGATGGCTGTCAGCCCGCCCACCGCCTGGCTCCAGTCTGATTACAGCCAAAGTGCTAAAAGGCTCCAGACCCCCAGGCCCCGCCTCTACGGTCCCGCCTCCCCAGGCCTCCTCTTCCCCCTTCTCCCTTAGCTCTCGCTTTTCCTTTCTCCAGGCCCCATAGGGGAGCAGTCTACTCCCCTGTTTGGCCACTGGCTGGGAAGAAGAGGGTCTCTGTCTCTAGCCCTGCCCCACCAAGCCCCCTTCCCTGGTTTGGGGCTGGATGCTCCTTCCTCCAAAGCCCTCTTGGCCTGGCCTCTTTGAGACACGTTCCATGCCTCACCTGGGAGCTCATAAATACCAAGGAGAGGCCGGGTCAGGCTGTGTACAAAGCATAGATCCCCACCCCATACGACTTAAAAGCCCCTGGGTTCTTCCCAATCTCCCTACTCTTCCCCAGACACCTGCCTGGGGTGGCTGGAGAGGGAGAAACAGGAGCGGGGGGCACTAGGGGCCTGGGTGAACCTGGCCCCATTTCAAATGAGACTTTTCTAGGTTTGCAAAGAAATCTCAGGAAAGGCGTCTCAGGGCCCCTTGTGCAAGCAGCAGGCTCAGGAATTCCTTGACTCCTATCCAAACCTCCCCCCAGCCCCTTCTCGGCCTTTCTCTCTGCTCGTTACCATCCACACCACCTCCCACCCACCGGGAAAGAGAGGTCATCTCCAAAGGGGCCTAGGGAAGGGGGGCCTATAAGGGGGGGTAGACCCGGGGGGAGTAAGAGCTGTTTACTCACACCCAAGCTCCCCTTAGCTCATCTCCACTCCCATCCAAGGGCCAGTAAAAATTCAAAATCATTCAGCCACACACAGATGAGAGTAGAGTGAAAAAAGATGAATCTTAGCTCTGAGTGGCCCCATGGGGGAGCAGAGCATGAGGTGAGGTACAGGGGTGAGGGAGACCCTTTTCTTTGGGGCACCCAGTTTTGAGAGGGCAAGAGGCTGTGGTTCACCTTGAGGGAGGAGGAAGGTGTGCCTCTGACGGCTGGGTGGAAGTTGTCCTGCTGGCGGCCCCAGGGAGTCTAGAGGCCTGGGTGAAGGGGAGGTCTGCAGCAAACAGCAAAGCCTATCATCCCAGCTCTCAGATGGCTTTATTGTATTTGCATGAAAATGCCTTGGGGGCAAGACCCTTTCACTCCTTCTGTGTCATTTAGGATGCCCTGGCCAGCGCTGTGCACACAGCAGGACCGTGGTAAGTGACCTGATTCCATGCAGGACCCTTCAGACCAGAACTTGACTCCCAAGTCTCCTCCCCCAGCTCCCATTTCGGGTGGAGTAGGGGTGGGGGATGGGAGGGAGAAGCAGGTCAGGCGCTAAGCCTGAGCCTCTGGCCTTGACCCTCTGCCTGGAAGCCCCACAACAGGCCCTTGCGTGAGGAGCCCAGCTCTCCAGTAGAGTCTAGGACCCTGAGACTGGAAGTTTATTTTGAGATTTGAAGTCCAAAGTGGCAGATCCCAGAAAACCTCTTCTCTGGCTCCGTATTTGTTCTCTAGTTAAGTGGTTGAGTGCAGCTCTTGCAGTCAGCTGGCTCCTGCAGCCTGGGCTTCCTCCTGTGCAGCTGGGGGCTCAGAGGGGAGGGGAAGAAGGAGCAAAGCGCCATCCTGGGTTGTCTACTCTAGGGCAGAGGTAGCCTGTAAGCATTGGGGAAGAGTCTTGTTCCCTCACCCACTTCCCTCCCTCCTGGATCTGCTGATGTTTCTGGGGGCCCCCTTAGCTCAGCAACATGCTTTAATAGTTGAGCATCTATGTTATGCCAAGACACCGTCCCACTTGACTATGAAGACAGCTGAAGCCAAACAAGGGGCCTCATAAGTGAGTTTGGGGCCCATGTGGGCGAGTCCACCCAAGGTTAGGGCTGATGTGATCATCTCTAGCTCCCCACCCTGCAACCTCAGGCCCAGATGTAGGAATAAACACAGGGCCAGAGTCACACCCAGGCCTGCGCGCACAGGGGAGTCTGAGAGAGGCTGCCAGAGCTTGCAGAGCTTATAGACTGCTGCCCAGCATCAGGGTGGGGCTGGGCTGGGAGGAGGTGACAGAATGGTCCCAGGAAAGGGGCTTGGCCAGGAATGAGCCTGGGCCCATTCCTCTTTCACCTGCCCCTCTCAGGGAAGCTCAGTATAGAGTCTGCTTCTTTTAAGCAAACGGAAGGGCCAACTGGAGCCTCCCAGACTGAGAGAGAGAAGGGGAGGGGAAGGGGAAGGTTGGCAGGGAGGATATGGACAGCATGTGGACCCTGCCTGGCCTCTGTATTTGCCCCACTCACTCCCTCCCATCCAACTCCAATCCAGCCCCCATTTTCTACCTCCCCTCTAAGGGTGGGCACCTTCTCTCCTGCATGACCTAGACTACCGCTGTTACCTATCTGGACTCCTCTCCTCCTCCCTAGCTCACTCTGCACACCAGCCCACTCCCAACTGAGGGCCTCTGTGCTGGCATCCTCTTCACCAAGAATCTACCTGGCTTGTTCTCTCGCTTCCTTCGTCTTTGCTTGAATGTCCTTAATGGGGCCTACCCTGATCATCCTAGTTACAACTCCATTGTTTCCCACTGTACTTATCACTTTCTAATATGCTATATGTTTTACCTGTGATGTTTACTGCTTATTGTCTATCTTCTCCCAATATAAGTTAAACTCCACACAGGCAGAAATTGTTCGTTTTGCTTTGTTCACTAATGTGCCTAGCACAGTCTGGAACATGGTAGGGAATAAATATTTGTTGAATGAATGAATTCACTTCGCCCCCTACTACAGAAAGTGAGATAAAGGGGTGAGAGATGTGGAGAGGGGATAAAGGTCTCTCTCAGCCCTTCTCCCTCATATCTGCCTTGGGGACGTCTGCGGCGAGCTGCGCCCTGTCGCTCACACTCCGGAGTCTCTAACAGAGACCCCCACCCCCAAGAACTGACAATGTCTGGGGTTGAAGGGGCTGGGCAGTTTCCAGGGCGTTGTTTACACCAGGGCTTTATAGTATAGATAAATCACGGGGAGAGGCACGAAAGACACCTGGGAATGAGAGGCTAGGCAAGAGAAACTGAGTCTGGAGAAGCGGTTGGGGCCGGACCCCAGCCGGACTCTGGAAGTTATAAGATGCAGGTTTTTTTAAAAAGAATTTTTAGGTCTCAGTAAGGGCCACCCTGCCTCCAGAAGCTCTACCTGCCGGCCTGGGAAGTGCGGACGGAAGAGGGGAATCAATTTCTACAGCCAGAACCTTCCCCTTCCCAATTTACCACGCCCCCAGGCGGTTGGGGCGCTGGCGGAGGGAGGGAAGGGAGCAGTGGGAAAGAGGAAGGGTGGAAAGGCGAAGGAGAGAAATGGCTCCGGGGCTTCCACTCTCTCAGCAGGACCCCCACCCTGGCCTCTGGTTCGGGAAAGCTGCCCAGCTGTTTCTGATTCTTTCGTACTCGCAGCCCCGCCCGAAGGGGTGGGGGACCGAAGCATCGGGAAAGCTGGGAGAGAGTAGGCTCTGCCGAGCCCGGGCGGCCAAGGGCGGGGAGTCCGCGTCGGGTCCTCAGGTGTGCCGCTCCGCTTTGGCCATCGATTCCCGGTCCACAGGCCGGAGAGAAGCGTCGGGTCCGGGCAGGCGGGCGAGAGCTTTGTCTATAAACATTGTGTGCGGGGGCCTGGGGGTGCGGGGGTGGGAATACGGTGGGCAGCGGGTCGGAGGAACCAGGGGCAGCGAGCCGTAGATGAGAGAAGCCCCTACCTTAAGTCTGCTGCCCGTGGCGCCCCCCGTTGGCAGCGTTGGAAAGGGAGTTAAGATTCTCCCGCAACTCCCCGTGGCAGAGATTCTACCCATTTCACAGAAGCGCAAGAACGGAGAACCCGAAGAAATGACTGAGTCCTCTGTGGCTCACTTCAGTGTCACTGTAGGTTAGATGACAGGGGAAAGTGTCTGCAGCCCCCCTCACTCGGCCCTCCAGGCCATCACCCACGGAGGTTGGGGTTGCCAAATGAAGGGCGCTAGGACCCGGTGGCGCGGCGTGGGCAGGGACTGGGCGCTCCGGGCGCCGAAGGGCGCCGCTGCGCCCCGTCGCGTCCTGCCCGAGCAGGTGGGGGCGCGGCGCAGTGCTAGGGGCGCCGAGGGGCGGAGGCGGCCGCCACACCTAGGGCTCTGCGGGGCGCCTCGGGCTGGCGCGGGCGGAGCCGTCCTGAGGGCCGCGCTTGTCCCCAGCCTCGGCCCCGCCCCGCGCCGTCCAATGAGAGCCCGCGGCCGAAGGAGCTGTCGGCACACTCTGTCCGCAGCCCCACTCCGCGCCGCCGACCCCGTGACACCGCATCTCAGCCCAGGCAGCGTGCCCCAGATCCCGAACTCGGCGCGGCGTCGTAGGCTTCCGACACCTCTCCCTGCGCCCCTCTCCGGGACCTGGCGCCCTGACTTCTGGACTTTAGGTGCCCTTAGGTCCCCAGCCGCCGGCGAGACTTATGGCCCCCCAGGGGGGTGAAGTGGGAGCAGCCTGACTACCCTCAGCCGGTGACCCGTCCACGCCCCTCCGGGCCGCGTGGCGGGAGTCTTCGGGGAGCTATGCTGAGGCCGGGTGGTGCGGAGGAAGCCGCGCAGCTCCCCTTTCGGCGCGTCCGCGCCCCTGTCTCCGCGCCCGCGCCTAGACCCACGAGCCCCGACGGCTCTCGGGCTTCGGCCCGCCTAAGTCTTGCTTGCCGCCTGCTGCTGCTGCTCCTGCTGCTGCTGCTGCTGCTGCCGGCCCGCGTAGACACGTCCTGGTGGTAAGTGTGGCTCTCAGGGCTGGGAGGGTGAGGTGCTGGGTTAGAGAGGCCGGACGCGCCGAAAGGGAGTATACAGCTCCCAACACCCGCTGCTCAGGAGACCAGGTTGTCGCTTTGACGGAGTCAGAGACGATCCGTGCAGGGCTGTCACTGAAGTCGCGGAGGGGCGCAGGGGGGCGGGGAGTGGATAAGGGGGCGCCGCTCCTTCCCCGTCTGGTGATGAAGGCGCTGGGTATTTGGAAAAAGGACGCCCGGTAATCGAGGCTTCCCAGACCCCCTGTATTTCAGCTCAATCCTCTTAGGGCAAAAGCTACCTTACGAGTTTCTCTCAGGATGGATTCAAGGAACCAGTCGCCCATCTGGGGCCGCGGTGGCCGTCCAAGAGGGCCTCCTGATCCCCTAAGGTTGGCCCCCCACACGGGGGAGGTGGAGAAAGGGGCAGATGGCAAGGGCAGGCGAGCCTCTCGCTAGTCTACCCTCACCCCATAACGCAGTAAGGCTTTGGTTGAGGCAGGAGCACCCGGCGCAAGGTTTAGAAATGGAATTGAGGCAAAAACTACCCCCATTAACTCCCACAACTAAAGCAAACAAAACACTTGGGTTTGCATACTTCAGACATTCAGTCTGTTTTGAGGATCTCACTTCGAACCTTGATATCACCCTCCCTTCTTCCTTCTCTTCCTTCCCCAGATGGTCCCATCTCCCATCTTTCCCCTCCAAGAACTAGCGGCTTCTAGAGTCTCAAAGCATTAAGAGATCCTCTCCTCAGATTTCCTGCAGGCCTTAAGAGTCCGGACACTTCACAAGACGGCAGATGAGGCAAAAGGAATTAAAAATCCACTGGATTATCTATTCTTTTCGGATCCCCTTACCCACGAAAGCTCTGGATGGCACTCATCGTTTTCTCCCAGAAGAAAGAGCTGTTCTCTCTCCTCCCCCACCTTCTGGGGGCTGAGCAGGGGGAGAGTGGGACTGAGAAATGACTCAGTCCTCTTGTCTTTCCTCTTCACCCCCCAATTAAACTGGCCGCTTGGACTGGGCTATTGCCTCTCTCTACCCATGCAGTGCCCCGTTCCTTTCCTTACTCTGCCCCTCCCCCCAATCCTCCCCTCCTCCACAAAGTGTGGTCTCTTTTCCCCTTGCACCATGTGGCTTCTCTCCTCCGGATTTGGAATCTTGGCTGGAAGGGTGAGGGGTAGCTGGCTGAGGGGCCAGCGAGCTTGGGCTGCAGATTCCTATCATTTCAAGATGCAACTTTCTCCATCCCCATCACCCCCCCCCCACACCCCCCGTTTTTCCTGTCTCAGGAAAATCTCTCCTTTGGATCTTTTTTATCTCTGCAGTGTTGGGGAAGGCAAGGGGGGGGGTTCTGGATGGGGGAGCAGGGAGGCCCATATCTTACATCTGGCTTGAAACATTCCTTTAGAAAGGGAAAAGGAAGAAGGGGACGAGGAGAAAAGCCTTTCAAACTTCAGAGTGAGATTAAAGCCACCCTTTACCTTCATGGTCTCAGTCTGGCTGGGGACTTGTGTCTTCGGAGGCCCTGTAGAGAAAGGATGAAGTGACCACTGTGCATCTTTATCCATTCCAGATGACAATTTGCTTTTAGGGACTCTTGATTGCTTCTTACCAATTTGGAAGGCAGTCTTGGTCCACATGGTGTTTAGGTGAGGAAGTATCACTCTGGTAATTTCAGCATCCTGATAGTGGTTCCTAAAAACCCAATTGGGGTTCTTCCTAGTCCGCATTTTGTCCCCTTGGCTACTCCTTCTCCCTTTTCCTTTCTCCCTCTACTACTCTCCCCCATGTGGTTCATATTAAAGATTTTGGAAAAACTCCTGGGTGGAAGAGCTAGCTAGGGAGGGAGGCGGGCGGGTGATACAGAGGGATTCAGCAGTCCCTGTGAAATGGAGGAAGGCAGCAACAGGGCCAGGATGGGCAGTGAGTGCACAGGTCATTTCAGTCTCCTTGCCTCACAGGGGTCACAGCTGCAGGCCCCAGAGTCCTGCCTCAGTGGTCAGTCACTTCTGGGATAAAGTAGAAAGCTGCTTTCCAAAAGCAGGTCAGGACCCAAGGTGATTATCTCTCTTTCTCTTAGGAAAAAACCCCAGCAAGACTGATATTCTGTACAACCCCCTGAAGAGATGCCTGTTGACTCTGTGTGTCCATGTTCCGCTCAGGAGCAGAATGTCATCACTATCACCAGCTAACAGTCTGATCTTCCTCACAGCCCTTCCCCTTACTCTCCAACCACTCCCTTCCTCTCCCGACCTTTAACTGAAGGAGGAAACGGGTGGTCTCTTCTTAATCTATGAAAAAGAGAACAAGAAATAGGGGTCTCCTGGCATGTGCCTCCCTGTACTATTTTGTATTCTGCAGGGGCTGGGATGTAGGGAATCACAAGAGCAGGACTGTGTTCAGGACTGTGGATTTACAGGAGGAACAAAGTGATATCATGACATTAACATTATTGGGTTTTGTTTTGTTTTGGGGCCATGCCAGGGGCTTGTGGGATCTTAGTTCCCAGACCTGGAGCGACCTGGACCACCGGGGAATTCCCCGACATTAACATTATTGTTATCAACCACAGCTGCCATTTAATGAGCCCTTCCTAAGCTCCAGACACTATGGCTAAGCACCTATAAGCATCATCTTTTACAATCCCCAAAATAATCCAGTGAGGCAGATAATATTATTATCCCCATTTCACACATGAAGAAAGTGAAGCATAGGAGGGGCGTAGTACGAAATTCAAGTTCACACCAATTTTGGAGCCAGATTGGTCTACTCCTGGTTAATAAGCACTGTGTGCCTCTCTTCGGCTTGGAATTGAAAATGAGCTTGGACTTTGGAGTCAGATGTCCTTGGTTCACCCCAGTTCTCCTCTGACTAGCCCTGATGGACAGAGCTGGGTATTGTTAATCTTTGTGACCTCAGTTTCTTCACCTGTAAAATGGAAATCTCTCTCTCATAGGATTTTTGTGAAGAAAAATGTTTTGTGAACTGTAAAGTATCATATAAATGATATTGTATTAAGATATTTAGGGAGAATAATTGTTTTATCCTTGTGTTCAAAGCCTTATATGGGCTGAGCTAAACCATGTACATGCACTAAAAACTGTAAAAGAAAGGGGGTAAATAAAAAAGAGGACCTCTAGCCTCATTAAAAAGACACAAACCTAAAACATCTGCAATGTCAACAAGGAATAAAGCTATAATTGAAATGAAGCCTATGGCTAGCTAGGAGGAGAGGGGAGTTGGGGATAAATCAGAGCGGTCAGGTTTTGTTTTTCTCACCAAATAGTTATTAAGTACCTGCTTTGTGCCAGACATTGTTCTAGGTACTGGGGATACTGAAGTGAACAAAACAGACAAAACTCCCTGCCTTCATAGAGCAGCATGTCCTAATCACCTGAGGAGGTGGGTAAAATGCCAGTTCAGTAGGGCTGGAATGGGGCCTGAGGCTCTGCATTTCTAACAGATTCCCAGGAGATGCTGATACTGCTGTTCTGGGGACCACACTCTGAGTAGCAAGGAGCTAGAACAGGGCATGAGTCACTTTGTCAAAGGAAGGGGTATGAATTGGTCAAAAGCAGGTAAAGAGAGCATTCTGGAGCAGGAAGCTGGGAAGGAAGTAAAAACTTCTGGAAGGGAAACAGCTACAGAGTCAGGGGCATCTCACCCTTCTACCAGCCCATCAGCTGGCAGATGCCTTAAATATCTTTGTGCCCCTAACAGATGAGCTCAGTGCTTGGCACATGGTAGGCATTTTGTAGGCACGCGCTGAATTGAGAGGGGGATGACCTGGGCCTCAGGCTGCCTTGCTGGAGGCCCCCACACTGACTGCAAGGTGCTGACCACTGGTCAGGAGGCAAGTGCCCTGCTCTGCAGAATCCTGAAGCAGCTACTTAGTGGGATAAGGGTGGTAGTAAAGAAAATTATCTTCCTGTCTTACTGAACAGATGTTCCCACGCTCAGTGAGGATGTAACAGGAAGGACCCATGTGGGCTGCAGCAGAATGGAGTTAAGTCAGACCACAGGAAGGACTTTTTACCAGGGTTTGGCATACCCCACTCCACACTGTCTCATGAGGGCTGGATTACTGGTCTCCCATTCCCATCCAACCCCTGTCTTCCCAAGCCCCAGTAAAAAAAAAAAACAACAACAAACACCCATTGCCTAGAGCAGTACTCGGGGGTGAACTGAGGAAGCAGAATGGTGGTGAGACAGGGACAGGCTCCAACTCCAACGGTCTTGATTCTCCAAACAAAGCACCGCAGCAGTGGGTGTAACTCCCGGCTGTGCGTCAGGCAGCCCTTTCCGGCCTGGCCCAGCCCAGGGTGTTTATTTTGTTTGTTCCTGGAAGCTGTTGCCCTGATGGACAGTGCTGGGGATGCTGATTCCATGGGATTTGTTAGTGGTGGACCAGCCCTCTCACCCCTCCCTGGGACAGATGGGCCCCATCGGCCCTGCTGAATTCCAGAAGAGGCAAACATCAGCCCTCCTTGTGTTTGAGTTGGTATCACCAGTGGTGATCCAGTCTGTGGGTGAGGGCTGCGTTTACAAATGCAGGGGGCCGGGTAGGGGGGAGTGTTGCAGAGAACATAAAGCCCAGGGCAGTCCAGCTTTTCCCTTCTCCCCACTGGCTGCCCTCCCTTCTCCTCACCCACTTCTAGGCCCATTTTGGGGCCCTTCCCAAACCACCGGCTCATTCACAGCCCAAATCAAATCTTTTCTGTCTGTAGCAGCAACTGCCCTCCATGGTCCCCATCTGTTCAGAAAAGGGGCGAGAAGGCGTCCCTTTGATGTGTTAGGACGGGAGAATAGAGAATTCACAGCAAATCAAGGCATGTATGTGCTGGGTGCTGGAGAGATGGAAAGGGACTGAGAAGTGGGTGTATGGGTCAGATCTCATTTGGTGGCCTTGTGGGGAAAAAAGGTGATGATGAACTCCTGTCCTCTCTCTGAAATGTTCTTCCTGAGGCTTGTGGTGGAGTCCAGGGCTAAAAAGTGTTTGAATGAAGAAAAACTACTTCCTTGAGAAAATTGAGAATGACTCTAGCAACTCACCTATCTTTGATTAGCTCACCCAATTGATCTTCTTATAATTGTTCACATTGGGCAGATTGGGGACTGGAATATGGGGAGTGTCACCCTGTTGCTTAATCTTGGTCTTTGGTTTCCCACTGCAAACAGCCCTCTGCCCATGTAGATTCATCCAGGACATTATGCCCTTTAAGTTGGGAAGGATGATTTTGAAAGACTCATTAGTTAAGAAAGGTCATGGGACCTTGAAACAAAGGGTGTGGGGAGGAGAGTTGGGGTGGGAGGTCATCCTCCCCAGACCTCGGGATTGGGAATGAGGACTCTTAGCTACACGGGTCTGACTAGAGCTGTAAACGTCACTCAAAATTGCCCACTATATCTCTTCCCACTGACTCCTCCCTGTCTCCATCCTTCTCCCATACCATGTCTTTATGGACCAGCCACGCAGGACGTGCCTCTGACATGTGGGTATAACAATGTTGTCTCAGACTCTAGTTTTATTAAGTTTATCTTTCCACGAGGCTCTTAATGTTTATTAAATAAACAGGCAATGGGGTTTGTGTGACATGCCCACAGCTTCTGTGTATGTGACACATGCCTAGCCTGTGTTCTGGGAGTGTGTGTAATTTTGGCCTTTGGCTGGGGAACTGGTAATGGTGAGACCACGCAATTACTCTCTCTGCAACTGCTTAATTATTTCTCCAGAGCTTGTGAGGATCAGTTCTCCCCATTGGCCTTGGGGAATATCGGCCTTGGTTGGAGGAAGGGGAAGGAACCTCTCAAGGTTTGAATGCCAAACCTTTCCTCCCCTTCTCCTAATGCAGAATAAAGCCAGGATGCTCTGACAGGGCCATCTCCACCTTGCAGGTACATCGGGGCGCTGGGGGCCCGAGTGATCTGTGACAATATCCCTGGCCTGGTGAGCCGGCAGCGGCAGCTGTGCCAGCGTTACCCAGACATCATGCGCTCGGTGGGCGAGGGTGCCCGAGAATGGATCCGAGAGTGTCAGCACCAGTTCCGCCACCATCGCTGGAACTGCACCACCCTGGACCGGGACCACACTGTCTTTGGCCGTGTCATGCTCAGAAGTAGGGGCCTCTTCTACCCTGCCCCAGCTCCTCTTTCTATGCTTGGGGTGGTGAGTGGGTAGTATAGGCATGAGCCCCTCTCTCCTCTCCTGCATACTACTTCATAATCAGAGTAAGAATTGTGGGCAGAGCCCAGGATACAGTTGGAAACAGACCCTCAGTACCTTATATATGTTATATGTAGGCAGTGACCCCTTTAAATCCCAGTGTTCTGGGATGATGGGTCAAAGGAACAGCATTCCCTGGTACCTCCATCCTTCCTCCTCCCTTTTCCTTCCCCTCCGCAACCCCCAGCCTGCGGATATCCATGCACTGTAAGGCTGAGGACTGGAAATGGCTGCTCTGTTCTTACCAACACCATTACTACCCTCACCCCACCACTCCCAACACTATAATAATTGGAGCAAGGAATAAACAGAAAGGTGATATGTAAATATTTGGAGAGTCAGCGGCTTGGACCTGGCTCAGCAAAAGAGCTAAGCAGAGCTAAACAGTAAACTAGCAGAAAGGGAATGAGATGAGAATGTGGAGGTGTCAGAGGGACAAGAGTGATGATGATTCATCAATCCCCAAGAGCAGGGAAGGAAGAAAGCAGGCTGGGGAAAGTAGCATATCTCTTCAAATACGATGACCCCTGGGCTGGGGTCTCCATTGTAGGGGAACTGTCCAGCAGAGTGGGCCTGAAAAGGCCTGGAATGTGGACTAAGGCTGGCTTTGCTAAGCCGGGGTTGGCACTCAGTGGGAGGGAATGATTCACTGTGAAACTTTTCAATGGATGGACCCAGGGAGTTTGGAAGGAAACAGGAGTACAGGTCAGCCCAAGAGGTCAGACATACAAAGAAGTGCATAGAGAGTTGTGAGGGCTGAGGGGAAGAGGTCAGATTCACTGGGGAAAGCTCTTGGAAGGGAAGGGTACCTTGAATAAAGGAGGTACAGGGGTTGCCCTGAGAAAGAAAAGGAGAAGAGGTTTCAGAGTTGAAGGTTGTGTGGGCTAAAGAAGGGGACAGACAAGGGCCTCTTTCCTGAAACACACTTCTACCTTTCTCTCTCTAGGTAGCCGGGAGGCAGCATTTGTATATGCCATCTCATCAGCAGGGGTGGTCCATGCTATCACTCGTGCCTGTAGCCAGGGTGAACTGAGTGTGTGCAGCTGTGACCCCTACACCCGTGGCCGACATCATGACCAACGTGGGGACTTTGACTGGGGTGGCTGCAGTGACAACATCCACTATGGTGTTCGTTTTGCCAAAGCCTTCGTGGATGCCAAGGAGAAGAGGCTTAAGGATGCACGGGCTCTCATGAACTTACATAACAATCGCTGTGGTCGCACGGTCAGTACTCATGTCTGTGCATGTACATTCATATTGGCTGGGAGTGGCCAGTATGTATGATCATGGAGTAAATGTGAAGGTGGAAGCACTGAAGGCTTCTGGATTACTTCCAAAAGCCCCAACCCCTGGAACAGGAGCAGTAAGTGCAAGGGACCTTAGGAATGCCTAGGTTCAACCTGGAGCATAAAGAATCTTCACATAGGTGGAAATTAGGGAAAGGTGGAGAAAAGAAGGGAAATAACTTTTTAAGAAAAAAAGAATCACCTCCTAAAGTCTGAGGAGGATAAAAGCTTGTTCTAGTCAGTGCACTGGTCTTTGAGCACTTCCTATACTGGCCTAGTACTGTGCTGGAAAATGACATGCAACAAAAGCAGAAGGCATGGTACCTTGAACTCTAAAACACATGAAAAGTAGAGGATGTGCCATAATTATGAACAGAATCCTGGGGCTTTAAAGTTCAAATGGGCTATCATGAAAAGGAGAGCACTGTTGGTCTAGGAAGGTTTCCTGGAAAAAGAGGTTCTTGAATTTGATCGGGAAGAATGGGTGGAATCTGACTGGGGAGAGGACAACCGATGGCTCCACTAGCCAACCAGGCCCAGGACCAGCAGACCTCAGGGCACTCATGCTTTTAGTCCTAGGGATGACCATAAAGTACCCTGACTGGCTGCCTTTCCCTTACCTGCCTCCCCACCTCCCAGGCTGTGCGGCGGTTTCTGAAGCTGGAGTGTAAGTGCCATGGCGTGAGTGGCTCCTGTACTCTGCGCACCTGCTGGCGTGCACTCTCAGACTTCCGCCGCACAGGTGATTACCTGCGGCGGCGCTATGATGGGGCTGTGCAGGTAACGGCCACCCAGGATGGCGCAAACTTCACAGCAGCCCGCCAAGGCTATCGCCGTGCTACCCGGACTGACCTTGTCTACTTTGACAACTCTCCAGACTACTGCGTCTTGGACAAGGCTGCAGGTGAGTAAGGAAAGTAGGTAGAAACATGGAGCCCTGATTTTTAGTGCAGGCACCTCTAGTTAATCACGGTTTCAGGAGTTAGGGAAGGAGGTTGGAGAAGCCAGTCAGACGTGAAAACCTTGTAATAAGATTGTTGATTTATGCCTCAGTCTGCCAGGCCCAAAGCTGCCTAGAGAGGAGAAGACACTGAGCTCCTTGAGGCCTGAGGTCATCTATCACTCCTTTATATTCCCAGCATCTGGGATATAGTAGGTACTACTAAGTGAATGTTTAAGTCAATCACCCATTTCAGTACCAAACAATGTATGGGCTATACAGAAGCATAAGATACAGACTAAGTTTTGGCTCTTTACAATCTAGCTAAAGAAATGAGATATAACAGGTAGACAAATGCAACTGCAAAAGAGAGAAATTAAGAAAAGTTTACTTGAAAATGCGGAATTTAAGCTGTTTCTTAAAGTGTGGGGATTATCTGGATAGCTAGAGAGAAGAACAGGTGGATATTCTCTACACGTGAGTAGAGTGGTAGGTGGGAAAGCACATGATCTGTTCTGGGAACAGAGAACAGATTAATCTGAGTGAAGGTTTTGGGTAAGGAAGATTAAAGACAGAAAGGTAGTAGGAAATACACCATGAATGACCTTGAAAGGGCTTATCCAGTGTGCTGCCACTGAAAATTCTAAAATGGAGTTGAGGAAGCAAGGAGGGAGGAGATCCCTACCAAAGGCTAACCATCAGCAGAAAGCAGCAAATCATTCTTGAATCTGTTCCATATATTTGTGGTGGAATTCTTGGGAATGCTGGAAGGTGATGTGGTGTTCCCCTAAAAGAGTGGAAGCTAACCATCTTGGCTCATATTTCAGGTTCAGATAGGTTAAACTAGGAACAACCTGCTATGCAACAGAACTGTTCTTCCCCTGGTTATTGTTATGGGCTCCCAGACTCTTCTCTGTAGTCTCAGCAGTCAGGACCTCGGTAAGGGGAAGCCAAAACCCTTAGCTGTCTTCCAAACTATTTGTTTTCACCTATCAGTGTCCTTCCTGGAGAAGCAATTAGCTTGGAGCAAAACTGGGCACAGAAACAGGGTGGGGCTCTACCCAAGACACAGAGAAAGTAGTTTGTGTACTTTGAAGGGTGCTAGGAGAAAAAATGCTAAGAAAGCACTTCTGATTCTCCTGGTGATTTCCTGCCACTAAGTTTGTTTTCTTCCCATGTGGTATAATTCAGAGGGCTACTCTCTAAATGCCTAGAAATAATTCCACAACATCCAGGGTGTAAGCCTATGCTGTCATCCTAAAATGCACCTTTGGGGAAGGATCTTTGGAGTTAGGAGGGAGGATGAGTCATATGTGTGTTGGTTGTTCTCAGAGGCATAACATAGGTCTCATAAAACCCACAGTGGAGCCTGGAATTCAAAGGGTACAAGTCATCCCAGAAGGGAGTATGGAGCCAGGAATTCCCTCCAAAGCAGTACTGTCCCATTGAACTTTCTGTGATGATAGAAATATTCTACATCTGTGCTCTCCAGTACAGTAGCCACTTAGTAACATGTGATTGTTCAGCACTTGAAATGTAGCTAGTGTGACTGAGGAGCTAAGTATTAAAATTTATTTAATTTTCATTAACTTAATCTAAATGACCATATTTGGCTAGTGGCTACTACATTGGATTGCTTGGCTCCAGAGCGTAGAAGAGGCTTCTGGTGCACAAGAGAATGACGTTAAGACCTAGCCCTTGAAATCAGGCGGATAACATATATAGTAGACCTAGTCAGCCTACACTCTAGAGCAGTGGTCTCTTAACATTTTGGCTTGTGTACTCCTATCATTAAAAAAAAATCTGAACATGTGCCTCCAATATATGTATATTTACTTATGAATTATATCTATGTTTCATTGTACTAAAATGTACATTATAAAACATACATACAAAGTAGATATTTTAAATTGATGAGCCCAAAAACAAATATAGAAGTACTAGCATTTTCTATCCATATTCAGTGGAATGTGGAGACTACTGCTATAGAAATCAGTTAATTTATTCATACCCTTCTTGAACCCCCAGGCTAGTTATGTTCCCATCTCTGGGAAAGAGGTGAAGTAGATATTCTCTAGGATCCATTCCATCTAAAATGCTATGATTTTGTGATCTGTTGGCAGCATCTCTTTTGCAAAAATCAGTCAGGTTGTGAGGTTGTGAGCATTCTCTGTGCAGGGGGAATAACACAATCCCTACCCTTCAAGGGTTCCTACCATAAGGGGTAAGAAGGCAAGGGATATTCTTTAGGAATTCCTTAGGGAGAAGCCTCCTGCCAGTAATGCTTATCAGTTCGCCCCCTCAGTTGATCAGAGATTATAGATATAACTATCTACTGAGTTAGGTGCTATTATAAGAAAAACTAAAGCCCAGAGAGATCAACTAACTTGCTAGATCACACAACTAAGAAGTGCAGAATTAGGTTTTAATCCTAGACAATTTGACATGAGGCACATGCATTAAATTTTTAATGGCCATGCTATACTACTTTCTTGTATAGTATAACTTAATGAAATATAAACTAAGGACCGAAATATTAACAAATGGTAACTGGATCAGAGTTGTAACAAGGCTTCTTAGAAAAGGTAAATTATAGGCTAAGTTTTTTATTTTAACTTTTTATTATAGAAAATTTCAAACATAAAGTAGAGAACCTTCACCCAGCTTTAACAATTATGACATTTTAAGGCTAAGTTTTGAAGGGGATATGGAGATGTGTATTGGCAGGGAGGACATTGCAGGAAAAGTCAGTGGTCTTTGGGGAGCCTTGATAGTGGGAAGAAACAAGCCTGGTACAGAGGGCAGTAAGGAGATGATCATTTTGGCTAGTGGGTGTATTTTCAGGAAAAGGGATTCTTTATGGTTTCCTCATGAGGATGTGGTAAGGGAACCCAGAGTGGCTGAAGTAAGAGGTAACTTGGTTCTCACTCTCTCTCTTCCCCAACCCAGGTTCCCTAGGCACCGCAGGCCGAGTCTGTAGCAAGACATCTAAAGGGACAGATGGTTGTGAAATCATGTGCTGCGGTCGAGGGTATGACACAACTCGAGTTACCCGTGTCACCCAGTGTGAGTGCAAATTCCACTGGTGCTGTGCTGTGCGGTGCAAGGAGTGCAGAAACACTGTGGATGTCCATACTTGCAAGGCCCCCAAGAAGGCAGAGTGGCTGGATCAGACCTGAACATATAAATACCTCACTCATCCCTCCACTTCAAACCTCCTGACTCAAAAGCACAAGACCTTTGCATGCACACCTTCCTCCATCCTCAACTCTGGGCTGCTACAGCTTCTATTTAAGGACTTGTAAAGTACTCCAGAGGGACTCTGGTGTCCTAGCTGGTTCCTTAGCCCTGGGAAGGAGCTGACAGGGGATGTAAAAAACTGAGCGGCTCCCTGACTCCCCACTCTGGAGGTTAGAAGGCAGAGTGGAAGAGGTAGGAGTCTTCAGAGCGATATGAGTTGCACTAAAGCACATGGTCAAGGTTCATTTTTCCTTTCCCTTGCATTGGCTTCCTGACACATGTTGTGTGTGCAAGAGAAAGGATACCTGGAGAGAACTTCTTTTTTTCCTACCTGGCTGAGGGTAGATGGGACAGAGATGAAACCACATATCTCTTCCCTGGGTCAGTGTGAGCTAACTGCGTGGTACCCCAAAAGAAACTCATAGGCTGAAACATTCTTCCATTATCAAGAGCCTGGGATTGCTAGATAAGAGTTAGCCATAGCAGACAAGTTCCATTCTCATGCTATTATGTTTATAAACTGCTGCGTTTTGTAGGAGAAAAGAATTATATAACTATACAAACAAACATTCTCTTCTAATCTCTCCTTTTCAACCTGTATCAGCCAGCACTGCCTCTTTTGCTCACTTGCTGACTGTACAAACTGAGTGGCATGCAGTGTCATGCCATGCCGAACAAACAGATCATTAGAATACTGTATAACACTCCTAAGAAAGAGTAATTTAGTAGGTCTGCCTAGGCCTTGGGATTTTTACTTTTTTAAACTTTCCACGCATCATTCTGGTGGGCAGCCAGGTTTGGGAAACACCAAGTAAAAGATATGTGACTCACGGAGCATGGGAGAGGGTAACAAGCCTGATCTCAAAGGCCCACATGAGGCATTAGTGTATACTAGGCAGGTAGAGATCGCTGGCTTTGGCAATTTTTAGGAGAGGATCCTAGCCTTTAAAGCTGGGAGCAGGAACCAGTGGTTACAGAAGGAAGGCGAGCTGGGTCTTGGGGCCAAAGTGGTAAACAGCTTAGAAGACAACCTTTCCTCATTTATTCAACAAATCTTTATTTAGTGACTTTCCAAGTCGTGATTATTATCCTTCAATCCGCATTTGGCTTAAATTGGCGAGTTCCTTCTGTGCTACTACCCACTGCCTAACTAAGCTTGTAGTGGTAGAGTCTCCAGAGATAGCAGGCTTAGTAAGCTAGAGGGCAGGACACAAGAGTCCCCAAAATCATGATGTCCTATTTTTATATGACTTGGACAGTGGTTATCTCTTGCCTGTTGATATTTTAAAGGAGAAGAGTGGTATAGAAATTTGCAGTTATGACAGACCTGGGTTGAAATCTCAGCTGTGCCAGTTACTGTTTTTGATATTTTGAGAAAGATACCCAAATTCTCTGAGCCTCTATCTTCTCACCTCTAAAATGAGGGTACAAACTTATATCAGATATTGAGTTTTAATTATGCCTCAAACTCCAGCCAACAGACCCTCTTACCAAAGCCTGTAACTGGTCTAGCCCATCCTGACTTCTCTCAGAATCTTCAGTTCAGGACTATAAGGTATTGACAGCAGGCTGTATATTAAGGAGCCTACACAAGGAGTTCTGAATATAGGCCACTTTCCTTTCCCGAGTTCCTCTCCAGCACCCCTTGGGGTCCTCACATGTTTGTGGAGCAGCTTTACTCCGCACAGGCAGCAAGAGGATGGGGGTGCTATAGCTCTGGGCCGTGGGGGCAGATTTATTTGGATGATAGGACTAATATTTGTGTAACCTGCTGAGACCTATGTGGGAGAGTTTAGGGTGGTTTTTCTTTTGGTGAGGGGGTTTGCTCCAGTTTCACATCCATTAACACAAAACATGAACTAGTCAGGGCCCTTGTGGTCTGCGGTGAGGGGATTCCTGTGGAGAAATAGGACTGAGTGAGTCAGGCCAGGGGAATGTCTTCCTTGCAGAGTGGAGTCAACTGGATAACTGATGAGCCAATGGTGGGATTAGGGAGGGGGGGAAATGGGAGGGGAAAAGAAGAGTTTCTGACATCTTGAGCTAGGATTAAGAGGAGGAAAGCACTAAGGTAGTGGAAGGGTAAGGGGCTCACAGTCAGTCTGAACTCAAGAATAGAGCTGAATGAATTACAAAAGGATGCTGTCTTGTATGCTGGGCCACTGGGAAGAGCTCTCAGGTCCCAGTTAGCTTCAGCTCTTACAAGGTTATCCAAGTTACCACATAAATGATAGCCTAGGCCTTCCATGGGAAATCAACCTGAGCTAAATCTACCTGTGTTCTATTATCTTATTTTTTCTTGGTTCTTACCCTGTGGAAGGAATCGGGCCTCTTCTGGCATCTCATACTGCTCTGTGCTTTTCCCTGGGCTCCAAGTTCTAGTTCATAAAGACCAAGTTTTGCAATTTCCTATAAATGGTTAAGAGAACAGCAAGCTGTCCAGAGAGTGAGAGGTCTGAAAAGTGAGGTGGATAGTAAGAGAAAAGAGGTCCATGTAAGCCCCATTACAGAGGCTATGTGGCTCCCAAAAAGAATAATGGCCAAGCAATTAATTTTTCCTCTTATTCCTTAGCTTGCCTCTGCATTCCGACTGGCTTTACACAACTGGCATCCATTCTGCACTATACAAACAGAAACTAATTTGGAACAAGCAGCAAAATGAGAACTTTATTTGGTGCAGTCAGGGCCCCATTTAGTTCTGCTGCTACTCACTCACTGCCTCTAATCTCCCCCTTGCCCATCTCTCCTCTGCTCAATAGAGGCCTGTCCCTCAGATCAGCAGGCTCTTAGCCTGCCACCTCTGTTTCACTCCTTCCTGTTGGTCTTCATTTCTTTTAGCTTTTAATATTTATGTATAATGCATTGCAGAAAATGCTGTTTGGATACAAATTAAGTTAAAAGACATTATCCTTTAAGGATCTTAGAATCTTTTAGAGAGGGCACAAGACTTAAGTACCTCAGCTGCACAGCCTATAGCCAATTTCTCTTATGTAAAAGTAAGAATGCCAGCCTTAACATAGTCCTGCAGATAAAAGCCAATCTGTATTATTGCTGGCCTTGAATAATAGCATAAATCCATACTCTTCCTTAGAGTGATACTAGAAAAATGAAATCAGGGACTTCAGATTATTTAAAAGAATCAAACATTGCCTGGCCCTGAGGGTCTGTCTGCAAAGTCTTGTAGGTCTGACTCCTTGACCACTCACTGCCTCAGTCTTCTTCCTCCCTGTTACAGAGAGTAATTTCTTCCCTTTCTCTCACCTCCCTTAGCAAGCACACCAACCACTAAGTCCTTCGCCAAATTCTCAGACCCACTCAGGACCTTGATTTCTCCATGGCTTAATATAAGAAAGATAACAAGGATTTTTTCCCCCTCAGCCTTTCTGAGGTTTTATTTAAATGCCCTCAGTGGTCACAGGGCAGAAACCCAAGGGAGGAAGGCAGGGAGAGTATGTTTCTCATCCCTGGGAGGCCTAGATGCAGCCTGCAGCCAAATTACAGCACCAGAGAACAATGTAATGCATTCCTGGGCAGGTCGGTGGGACCCTGGGCGCCTGGGCCTTGTGGAGAGAGGTGCCAGACACAGAGCTCTCCGTAAGCAATCCTGCAGAGCCGCCCCCTGGTTCAGAAATGAAATACGGGAGAGCTTCACATTATGCAGAGACCTGTAGCTCACACCTGGTTATTGATGGCCTTGGTGGAGGCCTCTGCCCCCACCCTCCACTTGGGAACTGCCTGCTTCTATGGGGGTTGGGCATCTTTGAAGCAACGTTGGAAAACAAGAAAGAGATGTTTCCTTTTCACTCTGCCCTTCCTATCAGCCTGTACACAACCGTGAGGATATATATATACAAATATCTCAGGCTGCATATGGGTACTAGTCATCCTCCTCCCCAACAAAAAAAAGAAAAAAGCAACTAGATTTCAATCAAACACTTCAAAACTCATACCAGTAACAGGGGTTCAGCTATAACCAAGGAATATTATAAAATTATCAACATGCAGGCAGCTGTTGGTTTGGGGACTGGCACCCCTCTGGGAGGTGGCAGGAGAAGGATACAGAAAGGGCATGGAGAGAAGAGATCAACAGTGGACAATTCCCACCCAGGCAGAGTGGCTGAGACTGTAGAACTTCTCATGGCTGGTTCACGCTGGAAAGAGTGCAATTCGTGTCCTACATGCTATGAATGATAGGGCAGTCTCCTATGACTGCACGAGGTACGATTATCAGGCCTCCTGCTCATGACCTGTTGTTTTTAACTCTTACTAGGTTAGAAAACAGGATAGCTTTAGGTTGCAGAGATGATCTCCACAAGAGAAAGGCACTAGAGGGGAGCAAGCAGTGGCTTTACTAGGGTAAATGTGTCACAGTTGCTGCACTAGACTGAGCTTTCCCAGAAGCTGGTGATTGGCAGGTTTCAAGTAACGGCCAGTGAGGTGTCAGTAATATACCTGTCCCTGACCCCAGAGGTCAAAGTGATAAAAGAGAGGGTATAGGTACGTTTTTCCACTTCCCATTTATGGCTTAAATGATCTCTGAGCATCTCTGTGGTCCTTCCTCATTTACTTAAGATGTTTTAGTCATCCTGGATTTGAGAAAGCAAGGTAAGCATTCTCCCTTTTGTCCCCTAACTCTGAACTGTTCTGGCTTAAAATTTGCCTTTGCTCACTTCCATTCTGCCTACGAGTCTATGGATAGAGCAGCTGGGCATGGGAGTTCTCTCTCTTTGGCCAAAAGAAGCCAAAATTGGATGACTACTTAACACCATCAACCCCGGTAAGCAGACCTGACCAAACAGAAAAGCTAAGCTGAGTGAATAAAAAAGATAGTTTAATCCACAGCTGTTCTATTTGACAACTTTCAAGGTGGGGCTTCCCCAAGAATAACTGTGATATTTATAAAAAGGTTTTTCATGTATAAACACTTTAGCTTATATGTAATTGTCTCACCAACCCTGTGATAGGAATTATGCTCATTGTACAGGTGCCATTCAGAGAGGCTCTGTGATTTGTCCAAAGTCCTGTGGATACTGAGTGGCTCAGCCAGAACTCAAACCAAGGGCTTCTGACTTCAAATCCTGTGTGTTCTCCTCAAAGACTGAGGGTGCCTAGGGCTGGAGGCACAAGAATCCCAGCACCTTTAGGACAGAAATTGATACAAAATATCCTAGGAGAGTATACATGAGCAGAATTTACAAAAGGAACAGCTTAGGCCTTCCTTAACCTCATCAATGAACCCCCTTTTTGCCATTTCTGCCACTAATACCACCACCACCAAATGATCACTGTACTACATTTAGTGGTCCATGTTTAATCAGCTCTGGTTCCTAATTCTTTCTATTCCTTTTTTCTTTTTCAGATTAACAGTTAAATTTTTGTTTTAGTTTTATCTAGTCCTTTTAAAGGGATGCTAAATGTGCAGACAGAGCAGAAGTAGTCATGAGAAGCCAAGAGAGGAAGTTATTAAAGCTTTGGGCTTTTAAAGTATGTATTAGAATTTCCTTTGAGAGTTCAATCTTTTTAAAAATGCTCTCAACTCCTGGTCTAGGAAAGTAAGAACAGGGAATGAGAGTGCTTAAAAAAAAACTGTCCTATCCCAGGCCAGATGCCTACTCACAGCCTAGTAAAAGTCCTGGGACCTCTAGCCAAGACAAGCTATTTATCTACACCAAAGCAAGGAGTATCTACCCTGCAGAGAAACCCGTGCAAGATGAGGCAGACAGCAGATTTTCACTTGATCAAAAACTTTTGCTGCTCTCAACCCCTCCTCCTACCCTCATTCAAAATCTGGACTTCTGTTTAGGTCTGAGACAGTGAGACAAAGCAGCTCCAAGAGATGATGTGTGTAAGGGGAACCCTTCCCTGTTCAACCCTGGAATGCATTCCGTTAGAGACAGCATAAGCCCTCACATATCCTACCTATCCCACTCCTGAACCCCAACTGTGAAGGCAGAAAGGAAAACTGCAGGAACACCATGTTCATCAATCATAGATCTGGGATGCTACAGCTCCCTGACCTGGGCCCCCACTTGAGCTAGGGGAAGAACACCTCATGAAAACAGTCTACCTATAGTTAGGATTTCTCCCAGAGCAAACCTTACTTTTTGGTCCATCGATCTTGGCTCTCACTGTTCTCGCTTCCCACCCCCACTGCCTCCGCATGTGGGCTCAGAAGTCATCATCTAAAGAATTCCACTGCTCACCTCCTGCATAGCAGCACAGCCCCATGAGGCCGCACACCAGATGGAGGGGATAAAAGTACGAGGTCATGGCTTCTAGCAAGAGGCTTTTTCTTAAACTAACCCTGACTCCTGGAAAAGAGTTAGAGCAGGAGAGTGTCAAGTGAGCTGCTGACGACAGCAGCTTCAGAGGTCTTGTATAAAAAGCTAACTGAGCTTTCAGTGGAAATTTCTCTACTCCTGGTCTCATGTCTACTTCTTGAAGGTGTCTGAACAGAATGCAGAGACTGTCAAACCAAAGGGTTAAATCCTGCCCAATTGTAGGGACCTATTCAGCAGGCTGCCATACACATGCTAAGGTGGAGGCCAAACCCTGAACATATACCCCATTTCTCCAGGAATGTAACTATGAATAAAGGGAAAGTGTACGGAAGGTGGACTAGAACTCAGGGGAAATTGAAAAGGTTGTCAGTAGGCCTTCAAAATGTTTGTGTATAATACACAGACGGGGATGCAGAAGGATCATCGTTCCTAGAACTGTTATGTTTGCTGGGTGACAATGTACAGAAGCAATAATTACAAAGAGACAAAACAGTTTAACACTGAGAAACAGAAGTCGCAGAATAAAGGAATCAGGTGAATGAGATTAATCAGGCTTTCTATAGGAGGTGGCTTTTGAGCTGGATTTTTAAAATATAAGGAATGTCCTGGTTGAGAGAAGACAGAGGAAGGCATTCTAAATAGAAGGGACTGGTTTATGCTGAAACTTAGAAGCAAGAATGTGCAAGCAATATATAAGGAATTTCAAGCAAGTACATATTATATACACTGGAGAATACAGAGAAATTAGAATGCTGAGATCAGGGCTTAAATAATGTGAGGTGACTGCATGTGCCTAGACTGTCAAATGGCTCAGAGTCCCCTATAGAGCCACACAGCATCTTGATCTATGTCAGTAAACACCAGGGCACCTATGGGAAAACACAAGGATGAGTCCATTTGTTACAGATACTGGGACTAGAAGACAGCTACACTGTAAAACCCACAAAATGCTAAGTATCATTAATCACAGTTCCCTATCATTTGAGGTTCTGGGGTAAATAAGAGATATCAAATATCCTATCCAGAACTGTGATGCATTAATGTAGGTTTACGGGCCTAGAACCTGACACAAATCAAGCCAAACTCTTAAGAAATTAGAATGTAAAAAAGGAATTCTTTAAAATAGAAAATACATGATTCTTTCCCTGACTCTCAAACTTAAAACTTGACTGGTCCCCTATATCCCGTTTGGCATACTGGACTTTTGAGGCTAGCACATTCACCATAGCTGCGGCCATACTGAATAGGAAGAGAGCTATGAAAGAGCTTTAGGGACTGCAAAATCAGTTTACTAATAAGTGAGAGGATAGTTCTGGTGTACTACAGGGTGCTAGAGCAACAGCCAAAGACAAGATACAAATTCCGATTTCATAAACTTCGAATTAGGTCTCTGGCTTCTTGCACTTGTTGGAGGTAAAAACAGAGCTATTTATCGGGCTTCTGCCAAGTTTCCGAACTGAACTTTCCTAACCTCTGATGACAAAAACTGCAAGGGCAACCCTGTTCTTCCACAGCATTTTCCTGGTGCCACTTTCAAAAACAGAATATTGAAATGTATGTGTGTGTGTATATATACATATATGCATTTATACATATATATGTATATATAAAAATTATATTTATGAACATTGAATAAGCCAAAAGGTGAGCAGTATCTTAAATTTTTGCTTTACTTAACTGGCACAATTTAGTTAGTGCTGGAAGGGAGGCAACCATTTAAGTGATAGCATTTGTTGGTATCATCTTGGTATTTTCCTCCTCCCCTAGGCAGTTTATAAAAGGTGATTTCTGAAACCCTTCACAATGGAAAAGCTCAAGGGTTTACATTCAACTGTGACACCACTATGAATTCATTAAGAAGCATGTTTCAGGTTGCACTATAATTTCCCTATGTAACATAAACCCATGGAATCTGACATAAGCTGATTGCTCATGCTGGTTATTTTATTTACATTTCTGAATGGAAGGGACCTCAATACTCATAAAATATCTTACTAACTTATTATTTTTCATCTGTTCTCCCAGAGCAGCTATTATAAAACAGGCATAGAGACATAAGTCTCAACTTGTATGACTGGTTAAGCAACGAGGGAAAAGTTACTGCTCCAAAGCAATTTTTTAGAAAATAATTCAATATGGAGCTTGAGACCAAATGAGATATCATTACTCTAAATGCCATGTGAAAGATAAAAGTTAAAAAAACAGTGTTCATTATCTTCGTTGAAGTCCTATGGGAGTAGGAGGTAGTTCACAGGAACTTAGGGGGTCTGGAGTTTACCTAAGTCTTTCTTTAGAGACCTAATGTTAGCAGACACAGCCTAGTATAAATGGGAACACAGGTGAATGGATGAGAGTGGGCTCCTCACAACCCAGAAATATGAATGCGCCTCCTTACCAGCATGCTACTAATCAGACTTCTGAAATGGAAGATACCATCATGCATCTAATTCATTATTTGGAGATGTATGTTTTGTTCATCTATCCAAAGAATAATAATTTCCACTTATTCCAGAAGATATAGCAAGCTCAGATAAATTGCTAAAGAAGTAACAATTACCAGTTAACTCCAGAGCCTGATCTGCGGTCTTCTGCCTGTAAGTCTGTGTTCAAATCATCCCACTTTCTTTCTTCTGCTGCCACAGAGTTAAAACAGTATATTCTTCGACCCTCTAGCCTTGGGCCTGCTCTTCTACTCAATATACTTTCATCATTTTACCATATCTAATGATTACATGCCTAACAGGATAAACTCCCCAAGGACAGGTTCTGTACCTATTTTTAAAAATATTTTAATATGTATTTCAAGGTCATATCCCCAATGATCCAGTCAGTACATATACTTGACTGAGCCCAATAAAGATAGGAAATCTTTTTCAGTTGTTTAGAGAGAAAATCTTGGCAGTTCCCCCTGTAAAAATGTAGAATTATCCAGGATACAGAATTGATCAGCAAAATTCAGCTTAGAAGAGAGGGAAAAGGCAGCTTATTTTAGTACCTTAATCCAATATACTTTTATTATTTTTCTTAATTAACCTGATATATTTTCAGAATCAGTCACTGCAGGGTACAGCTTTGACATGAACAGTGGGCTCTGGGAAATTCTGAGTGGTTCTTTCCCTTTCTTTCTCACATGTCCACAGAGGTACATGAGTACCTAACTCTTTAGTACCAAACTCTTTAGTCCTAACTCTTTGCTGTCCCATTCTGCTTCTGACATCACACTTCCATTTTCTAAACCAGGATGGTCCTTAGCCCTTATTAATCTGTCATTATTAGGAATGAGAGGATATAAAAGACAAAGATAAAAATGAATGAGTATAGCAGGCTTTAGTCTTAGGGCAGCTACTATGTAAATCTGAGGGGTGACATTTCTTATTTCAATCTTGAGTTGTGGAGCACTTCATTTTTTAATAAATTCTAAACTATTCAGATGAACATAATGAATACTGCTGTTTACAAAAACACGAACTTCATCATTTATGTGTAAAGATGAAAGTCTTTCATGTCTGATATCTGAAAAAGAATAAAATAAAGAGACCTCCTTCTATTTCCTCTTGTTTGACTGAAAGGAAAAAGCCTCTATCAGTCTAGATTGACTTTTTTGGGTCACTAAATCTTATGTGAGGCATGTGAAAATAACTCATCAGTCACTTCTAGTCAAATGAATAAATCTCCAAGGATGAACTAATCTACTGTTATGGCAGTAGCCTCTGTCTTACACTAATACATGTCTTGCCTACCTTAAACCCCTTACCACTAGACTATGAGTTATTTGTGAACAGGGATTGCATTTTATATTTCATAAAGGTACCCAATAAATATCTGCTCCTTGAATGAATGAATGATGAACAAATTCATTACTAGTAACATCTGAATATAATGAATTCAAACACCAAAAACTTACAGTATTTTACAGGATAATCATTACCATACTATAGCATGTTAAAGAATATTAGTTAACATATTTTTAAATGCTGAGGCTCTTTAAAAACTAAACTTTGAAAACAAATTAAGAGAAGGCCTACTGGAGTCTTTTCATTCAATAAGCCAGTACTGAAACAAGAATCTTTTCAGGGTATCCAGGATTCTGAACTGCATGTTCTAGTGCAGGTTTTTGGTTTTGGATTTTTTTAGAGTCAGTATTATAAGAGCTAAATTACACCAAGAGCAAATTAATAAGAAAAGTCTACACAGCTAGGGCTTTGTTGAATTAGAATCCCTGGGCTCCCAATAAGGACTAAATCCCAAAGGGATCACAGTCAAGTAAATAAAAAATCCATCTAAATTTTATCAGAGGGCAGAGTTTCAACTTTGAATACCCCAGCAACCAAGGATGAATTATGTATAAGATTAGTAAAGTGCCTTCATCCACGCCCCAGCCAGAGAACATTCTTCTATCTCACTGTGACTGAAGGAAAAATAGCAGTGTATTTGTCTGCCAAGAACAGTTGTGGCTATACTCTAGGTTGGAGTTTAACAACACTGAGGGATTAAAATTTAATTGTAAACCTGCTGCTACCTGGCAGTAAAAGCTTAAACTCTGGCATCAGAAAGAAACTGGGACTCCAGCATACTGAATAGATGAAAACAAGAGCTGGCATGTTCCTAACAAAGAGTATGAGAGTATGTTCCCTTCTTAAATTCTGCCCCAAACTGCTTCTTTCTCTGTATATCCTATTTGTAATATGCAAGAGTGCTCAATGGGAATATAGCTCTTTTCTACACTTTGGATAGTACATATACATTTCATTTCCAGAACGCCTGAAATTACAGGATGAGGTTAAAGGGTGATTATGTGGTCTGAATTCTCTGAAATATCAGTTCTCTTAATTTTGTTGAGCATCACCTGAAGCCCAAATAATTTCTTTTCTTGAAGCTAGCTGTCGAGATGGACATAAGGCAATCTTAATATTATTACAGAACTAAGAAAGATTATTTTTTCCTCAAATTCAGATAGAATACCATTAACACCCAATCTTTCATTGAGGCCTCATCGGCATTAAGGAACACATAGAAGTTTCCGATGTATTGTTACAACTGCTAGAAGTACATGTGCTACCTAAAAATCCCACTTTAGCAAAACAAAACAAAACAAAACAAAAAGCCCCACGAGTTATGTTATTTTAGACCAAAAGTTTATTCTGTTCAGTTAAACTGCCCCTCACAGTCCTTCACAAACTTCACCTTTGATTTTGAAAGAAGAGTGATGTTGAAACATAAGATATAGATTTGTAGTTTATATTAAGACTTTTTTTTTTTACCATTTCAAAGAGTTAAATTCCCTCTGAATCACTATAAATGAGTACCTACTGTTTCTTCAGTATTACTGCACATTTCAGACAGTTAGAAAGGCTGAAGTTCTTTATACAGTTGTGTGAGTATGTGATATAAATGATCAAACAGTGTTCTTTCTTAAGTGGTTTACTAGCCAGAACAGGAATGAAATTAAAGTGAATCAGTTTGAAGACAGAAAAGCAAATGTGCATTCTTTATTTTAAAACATCAGAGTTCATCAAATAGGCTTATACTATGAAGAATTTTCCAGGTAGCTTATTTGTCTACTTGTACCTTTGCAATTAACCACTTCTGCAGTCTAAGTGCCTTTTCTATTTTCTGACAATACACATTGGCCTCTTTATTTAAAACTCTTCTCCAAATTCATCTCCTATGGGAAGACACTAGCAAAGCCAATTTACTATCATCACTCCATCAGTCTATATTCCCTCAGCATTACTATATTTGGTTTGAAATTTACTCTTTTGTACTTGTTTTAGTATATGTTGTAAGGTGACACATTTTTGAAACCAAGCATATATATGACTAAAGGGCTATCTATTGTGTGATTTCAAGGAACTCTCTTATCTTTAACGGCTCAAACTTCCTCATCTATTACATTGGAAGATCACAGTCTGTCCTCCAATGCTTCTGGTAAGAATAAATGACAGTGTAAGTATAAACTCTTAAAAAAAGAAAACTAATGAAGTCCATGTTACTCTTGGTTTAGAATTGTAATATATTAAGTAGTTGCACTAATTTAGTTCGTTTGAGCATTAGAAATTTGATTGGTGGGGGGAAGGAGCAACATCACTCAAGAAAAAAGCCAAAATAACTATTCCTCGCGATTTTAATTTTCCTCTGTACCCATTATTCTCTCCATTTAGAGGATTATGCTGGGTCTGCAAAACACAAAGATGTTTTCTAAAACAAAACCCAGTAGGTTTCCTAATATGAATTCTAATACCACTAGTGTAATGGGTTTGGAATGAGTGATTTACATCAATATCTGGGCACAGCTCTTCTAAAAACTGCTATGCAGTCCATTTGCCTCAAGTGCTAATAATTAACAATAAATATATTAGTAGAAGTTAGTGACAGGATATCTTAGACTTTGGCAGAGATGTTCACTTTGAGGGGGGAAAGATGATTAAATATACTGCCAAATAAATTCAGGGAGAGCTTTTGTGAACTTCACACTTGTCAAGCACATGTTTAATAGGGAAAGAGGGTGCTTTCCACAAACTTCAAAACTGAATTAAATCCTGGGGAAGGGATACAGACATGCATTAAAAAGTACATTGCCCTAACTTTTATTATTATTATTATTACTGTTTTTGCCTTTGAAGAGTTCAGTACTTAGAAAATTTGGATAAAGAAGAACATTAGCAATTTCATAAATTTCTCATTCTGGTTCTCTTTGAAGGAGAACAATGAGGATGAAGCATGAGAAATTACCCGTATAAAAAGCAGAGAACAACTTTTCTCTTGCTACAAATATCCCAGTTAATTCAGAAAATCAAAATTGGAATATGCCAGACTGCCCAAGTAAAGACTTTAGCAGCACTAACAATGGAACAAAAGTGTAAACATTTAAAAATTTTGACCTGTCACAATAGGCTCATTTTATTATCAGGATACTCTCTGGGAAATACCTCAGATATATTACTGTGGAAACAGCATGGTTATAGCAGAGTATTTTACAGGAATTTAAGTTTAGTTACAATTCAAAATGTTTTTAAAACTATATTAGTTCTTGAAAATAATCCATTTTCAAACAAAGTAAAGCAACATTTTAATAGTTTAATTTCTAAATGGGGCCCTATGTATTTAATAAAGAAGAATGCAACTCTCATAGGTTTTTAGTATTAATAAAGTCAGATGAAGAATATAAAAAAACTCTTTTACCTATGAACAGATTTCACATCACTGGTTATGACAATGGAAAATTAGGAACCTTTAAAAATATTTTTTTTCGGGCTTCCCTCGTGGCTCAGTGGTTAAGAATCTGCCTGCCAATGCAGGGGACACAGGTTCAAGCCCTGGTCTGGGAAGATCCCACATGCTGCGGAGCAACTAAGCCCGTGTGCCACAACTACTGAGCCTGCGCTCTAGAGCCTGCAAGCCACAACTACTGAAGTCCACGCACCTAGAGTCCGTGCTCCGCAACAAGAAGCCACCGCAATGAGAAGCCCACGCACCGCAACGAAGAGTAGCCCCCACTCGCCGCAACCAGAGAAAGCCCACGCACAGCAACGATGACCCAATGCAGTCAAAAATAAATAAATAAAATAAATTAAATTTATATATATATTTTCTAATGGTATATATCAATATATGGTTATAATTGTCTATCAATTTCCCTAGTTATGAAGACAATCTTTGCCCTGCAAAAAATGATAATTGTGGACAAACCTTCTCAAAAGTTCTGTTCACTGTTCAGTAAAAGACAATAAGCATTTTTATCAGCTTATTATTTTTTAAAATTTAATCTGGGGAGAAAAATGTTAATTATTTTTGGGAAGGGGCTGAAGAAATCCCAGTGAGACATTCTGTAGAGAGGTCTTTTGTTAGTATAACATCTGACCTTCTATATCTTTGGAAATCATGCAAACTTGGCTAATGTAGTACTTAAAGAATTAATCAAGCAGATTGTTAGGCCCTAGTTACAGTGGAGCCAGCCAATTATGAGTTGCTCAGAAATTCATCACTGGCCTGTCTAACCACATTTTCCCACATAAAGATTAGTAGAAATATGTGGAAACTGGGCCCATTCCCACCCCAACACAGCTACAATATGTGTTCAATGAAACAAATTTTAACCAAGTTTTGCCTTAGTGAAACAAACAATTTATTTGGGAATCTTTTTGATTTCTGTCTTTACCCATAACATCTTTTCTGCCAACATTGCAAAGGCTGCCCCATTTAGTTAAAACGCAACTAGGGATTTTTATATTCAAACACACTTGTGAATTCAAAGCACTAAAAAGTCACATGCCACAAGCCTGAATTTATCAGTAAGTTAATGAAATTCCCAAAGACCATCTTCAGTCTTTTCACTGTTGTAATATGCCCTCCCAAGGCTTACTAAGAAGAAAGCTTTTCTTGCAAGAGAGAAATGAAAGAGGCCAGAGTAGATGAAGATTGGTTCTCTAAGGAGAGGGCAGTGCTGCTCTTAAATAAAGAAGCGCCTTTCAGATAAGCAGAATCAGATTCCAGTTCATTGGTTTGCTGGCTACCCTTACTTTGAACTCTCATATTTAACCCAGCAGGCTTCAAAGCAGGTGAGAAAGTGATCTACCACTTAAAAGCAATTTTTCCTTTTTCAGGAATTCTGGTCTTAAGAGAATATCAACTCTGATATCAGCACATTCCACATCTCCAGGGATTTATGCAATTTTTTTTTCATTGCTCTATGTCTAATATCCGGCGAGGAGAAAAATCAGGAAAAAGTCCTAACTTGCTGAAAATGAAGTCTTCTTCCATATAGCTTAATATCATGCAAAAGAAGAAGGGGCACTAAAACCACTGACCATTCTAGTGCATTCCCTTCCATTTATCTAAATCTGATGTTCAGTGAGGATTATTAAAAATCATTAATCCCTAGTGCCTTGCTTCACAAAAAGGCAATTTTTGTAACAAATGCATTTTAACAAATTCAAACTGAATTTACTCTAGCATGTGAGCTAATACAAAAAGATATTAGATGAGGAAGAGACAACGACAACAATGGAAGGAACTTAGGAAATTTTCTTAAATTGCTTTGCCTTATTAAATAGAAGAACAAATATGTTTCAAAGATTCTTCATTGATTTCTGTACTTCATTGATACTGTACTTGGCTATCAAATATCTGACCTAACTGAAAATTTTAACACAGGCAATTTGCAACTTATCAATTGGTTCTGCTCTATAAGGCACTTTGCTAGTGCCTAGTGCCTAGAATTTGAAACATTTCTCCACTTTCTGGTACACATAATGTACAGAAGTATAGTACTAATAGTATTGTTTAAATGATACTTAACCACCATTTCTATGGAAAAATGCATTTTGAGTTTACTAGTAGAACATGGCTCCCCCAAACATGAAGGGGGTAGGGTTTCCCACTATAGCTGCACTTTGGTGATGATGATGACAACGACAATGGCAACAACAGCTAACACCTAGTTTTTACTGTCAGCAGACACAGTTCTAAACACCTGATAAATTTTAAACTCATTTATCCCTCACAAAAACCCATGAGGTAGTACTATTCTCATTTTACAATGCGGGGTGGGGGGGTGGAATGTTAAGCAACTTACCCAAGGTGGCACAGCCAATAAGTGTCAGGGCTGGAATCCAAAGCAAAGCAGTCTGGCTCCAGAACCTATGTTCATAACGACTCTACAATCCTACCCCTTCTCCACCTTGATAAGGTGGCACTACCCAGGAATTCTAAATTCTTCTTATTGGGGGTAGAGTAAAGCAGGACTTCTCAAGTTTTAAATGTGTACATAGGATCACCTGAGGATCTTGTTAAAATGCAGATTCAGGAAGGCTGGAGTGGTACCTGTGGTTCTGCGTTTCTAACAAGTTCCTGGGTGATGATGGTAATGCTCCTGGGGCAGAGACCACACTATATATATATATATATATATATATATATATATATATATTTTTTTTTTTTTTTTTTTTTTTTTTGCGTTACGCAGGCCTCTCACTGTTGTGGCCTCTCCCATTGCGGGCCTCTCCCCTCCGGACGTGCAGGCTCAGCGGCCATGGCTCACGGGCCCAGCCGCTCTGTGCACATGTGGGATCCTCCCGCACCAGGGCACGAGCCGGTGTCCCCTGCATTGGCAGGCGGACTCTCAACCACTGCACCACCAGAGAAGCCCGAGACCACACTATATTAAGTGGTGAAGAAGCAGAATTTGAGCCTCTAGTTTCCTTGCTGTCTGTTGAGGTATTTGTATATTGAGTTTATAAGCTGGAGCCTGCCTATACCATAATCATTTCCCATTAATTCTTAAATGGAAACTGCCCTTGGAACTGCTGCATAACAAATATTGGTTTGCAGGTACTTTCAGTAAATATTTAACTTTTAGGAATTTAAAATGTACATGTAAAAGCCACAAGGATAAAACGTGGCTGTAAAAGTTTGCTGTCAGGCACATTTTAAACACTATACACTACCAACAAATACCAAAAGATAGAAAACAAATGCCTGTTTATTGTTCATCAACTAGAATCACAGTAAATTAATAACTTTTGGTCTAAGAAAGAAGATTCCACTTTCAAATGTGTAATTATTCATTCTCGGACACTGCTAGGAGCTTGTGCTATGCAATCTTAAAGGCTCTTCTGGTGCATCAGAGATCTCTTAGGTAAAGGCAGACACTATATATATACTATATATACGAACACTGATGAATAGAGCAAACAGTGAGTACACTGCACATTAATTTTAGCCAGTACCACATGGCAGTACACTACTAACAATGACTACATCTCTACTCCAGATTCTAGATCTTCCTCCTCTCTCTATTTTACCTCCTTCCCACTGCCCTGAGAGAAACCCAAGGATCATCTCTCCCACTGCTTTCCTGTGATCTCAAATACACAGCTGCATATTTTTTTCCGGTTGTTAAATTGACAAGATTCTCTGTCTAGTCCATTTTTTTCCATGCCAGATTACACTGTGAAGTCATTTCAGTTTGAGACACACTTGCTCCCCAGTCAGCACTACTGCAAGCAACAGAGTTATGGTATGATCACTAAGCTTTCTCCTTATACCAAAAGTAAGCAGAAGAGTCAGTTTCCAACCCAAATATCTATACTCACTGAACACAGTAAAAAGTCATCCTTCTTGAAGCCTGACCCAGAATCAAGTGTAGTCTCAGACTCCTAGGCCTACAGCCAGTGGCAACTTAACACATTATACAGTTGGCCTTCAGGGAAAAAGAGAAACCAGTGCTCTTACTACTGGTGCCAGAAGAAAACCAACTAATCTTTAAGGCACAAAATAAACTCCTAATGCAGGAAAAGAAAGTGTGAGGAAACAGGGAGTTAGAATGGAGGCACATAGACAAAAATATAGAAATTACATTACCAAGTAAGGCCTAGTATTTCTATGGTTCTTAGTGCTTTTCTATTTGGGAATATAATGAATTAACATTTTCTTTTGGGGTTTGAATTCTTATTAGTTGGTAAAAATACAAAGATATACAAGACACATTTTTTAAAAGGCTTGGAGACTTACAGGGACTTATCTTTGGTAATTTTGCTTTGAGTCAGTGACATTAATTAACAGGTTTATGTAGAAAAGTAAAAAATCATGGGATACTCTCTCTAATATCAGTCCTCAAATACTTTCTGGACCTGGGTCCAGAAATGGGGAAGAAGTTCAAAACTAAAGGGTAAAAATAAAAATAAAGGTCTGTACACGGTTCTACACCCAAGGTTGGGAGATCAATAAGAACATGTAGATATAAAAACAGGGAGAAATTTTGAGTAAAGAGGCACATTCTGAACCCAGGGCAAATGTCGCAACTGTCCCACCTTACCTACTTATTCTTCATCCTAGTTGCACTCTTGAATTTAACGTCCACCAAATCCTGAGAACTAATGATTTCATTTAAATGGAAAAATCAAAAGGCTTCTGTACAAAACAAGGGATTTTTTTTAAATGTCGAAGAAAATGCACTTAAAAGGTGTGGATTATTCTTTAGCTAGTAACAAGGGCTATGCTTATACCACCAAAAGTGATCTACAAAGACCAACTTTATAATGTTATGCCATTGTATTCTCTAAACTTCTAAGCAACAAAAACACAGCTCAAATCACCAAAATCTTATGTTTGACATATTTATGGCAGCAACTTTACAAATCAATTCCTGTAATTTACTATAACAAATATCTTCACTGCTCAGCTGGTTTAGCACAAACAGATCAGAGGTGGTTTCTTGTGTGTTTTACAAATACTCTGCACAAGTCCTTGAGATCATACTTACAGCTTTAGCAAAAACACCCATGATTTCAGGAAACTGGTGTGTGAGAAGAGCTATCATTGCTGTAGAAGAACACAGTCCTGCTGTGAAATGGATGAAAAAAGGAAGCTCCTTCTTTGGGTAAACAGAAACATGATGAAACGCTGCAAGGGAGAAAAGACAGAAATGGATTTTATTTCAGAATACAGTGTAAGCCAGTTTTAATATTTTCAAATGAAATCCATGTATAAAAACTAAAAAGGAAAATGTTTTTTAAAAAAAGAACAAGAAGTCTCTGGTCAAGCAAGGGAGAAAGAAATTATCCATTATTTTCTCTAGCATCAACAGAACACCTACATAGCCAGACGACTGCTGGGAACTGGGAATAGGATGGCACTGTGGGAAAGAACAGTAATTGTAGTCATGCTGAGGTGGTTTTGAAGAAGAGCTTTGTCACTTATTAGCTGTGTGATATTGAATAAGTTGCTAAACCCTCTAGTAGTTGCTATGGAATTGTTATGATGAACACTATAAGCCCTTTATAAAGGTGTTGTTATAATTTTGATCTTTGGGAGCTCAGAGATAAGTATAGAGATCAAGAGACAGACGTGTGGTTGGAGATTTACCAGAACAATAAGTTAACAGTTTTACCCAGTTATTAATAAGTGTCCTATATGTGGCATTTCATTGAGCACTGTAAAAATCTAACCAGACCACCAAAGCCCTAGGATTCTGAACATATATGGAGTCCCTTGTCTCATTTTACCACATTTGCACATTTACTCAGGTATCATTTTTCTAATGATTGGATATTTCATTACCAATAGTATTCAGGTAGTTTTATGTTATTTGAAATTTGAAAATACTTGAATAACAATGCTGAGAGGAGCCTATTACAATGACTGGCAGACAGCAGGTACTCAATAAATGTCTGTTAAACTGAGAGTTATTCTGGGACTTCAGTTGACTGCTCAGGGTTGGACACAAACCTAGGAATTCCTGATGTAATATCCTGCATAAGTAAGGAATGACTAATTCAGTGCTGAATTGAGGTCAGCTATAAATTTAACTTTTTAAAACATAATGATTCACAGGGAAGATTACACCTAAGTTTCCTTCAGTAGCCAGGATTTTTTTTAATGTCTTATACTATCCTCAGAAAGTATATACCAAAAAGCAAACTCATTAAAAATCCAGAAAATTTCCAGAGCCTTAAGTCATGTTTAAAGTAAAAGCACACCAAGTCTGAATTTTTTTAAGTTAGAAACATTAGAAGCTGTGGACAACATTGTGCTTTCAGCACCCAAAAAAGCAGCAGTTCCTCCTTGCTCTGTCCCTCAGCCATTAGAGGCCAACTTCTTCCAGCAAATCAAAAGATACAAACCATATTTGCAAAGACAGGGAACAAATACTTACATGTGCCAATGGTTACTATAATTGCTTTTGTGTGAGAGACAGCACAATTAATAATATTAATTAAACTGTAGCATTTTGTGGCTCACAAAGTGCTTTAATTTATATTAGTTTATTTTTTTTCAATAACCCTAGGAGATAGATAGTATTATTCCTACTTTTTAAGGTAGAAAACTATATAGCTTTAATAGGATAATTTTCTAAAATGTGAAATTTTTATACTGTAGTAGAGATCCAATTATTTCTTTCTGGATTGCTTTCCATAGATTCATTTGTCAGTCAATGTTTGGCTAATACATCAAAATAATGGATGACTAGTACAGAAACACTCCCTTGGAAGTAAAGTTCAAATTTCATCACTGGCTTGTAGAGAAAAATTTATCAGGAGGCATAAAAGACAACTAAATAGCTATGTGAACTAAGGGAATAGTTCAAGTCTGAACTTATGAGGTTCATAAGCAAATTCCAGAATGCTGTAAGTCATATCAAGGTTGAAGGAGAATTGAAAACAAAAAACATTAAGTACTCCTGGGTATTAAAACTCTACATTATTAAAACTTTGTTCATTCTATCATAGTCAAAGACAGAAAAAATACTCTAAGAATATACAATATAATAAAACTAAAACCCCCAGAATATCCCTCCTCTCCTACCTTCTAGAATTTGCAAATGAGTAGAACCCTAGAAATAATAAAGGCCTGCCAAAAAGCAAGCTCTCTTCTTGTAGCCTATGGCTCTGACAATACATAACAATAACAACCTTGATTTTATTCACACTACTATGAAAGACGGCCTTATATCAGTCAACCTCTGTAACAACTGGAGGGGGGGGCATAATTTTAGGCTAAATGTATTAGCCTAACATAATACACTCTTGTATACTGATGTTCCGCAATTAAAGATTCGTTCCTTTGCCTTAAATATCCTTGTTCCCATTAAAATGGAAAAACAATACCTACTATCACCAGCGTAATAGTAAAGGAAAAATTTCTAACACTAATGACCTTCTAATTGCTGAAGTCAATGGATTCTTCTCAGTAATTACCTTATTAAATACCTCAGATACTCCTCCTCACTTGGAAATTTTTTCCTCCTTTTAGTTTCTAGGTTACCTAGTTCTGGTTCTTGTCCTGTCTCTCTGACCACTCCTTCACTGAATCTTCTGACTCCTTATCGGCCACCCATCCCTTAGACATTTTCATCATGGTTCACCCTTAGTTTACTTCTCACACTCTTTACAGTTTCCCTTAGTGATCTCATTCATGCCTAGAAAATGATGACTCCCAAGTCAAGTTTTGTGATGTAGAGAGATGCAGAGGGAATGAGATATTTTGGCAATTTTGTTTACTTGACCTGATCCTGTCCCTGCACCACAGCTGATTGGATCAGGGATGAACACCTGGTAAATGTGATTTACTCTCCCAGAAGTTTTAGAAGTGGGATTGAGATATTTTTCATTCTGTATTATTTGCCTGAACTGATGACATGTAAACTTAGGGCTGTATGGGGGTATCAAGTATGGCTACATGAGTGTCTAAGAAGGGAAAGCCAAACTGCAAAGATTAAGATATAAAAATGAAGCAGATACACTGAGAGAAGCAGAAATGAGAGCTCATACAAAGAAAAGATGGAGTTGGGGAATGAAAAAAAAAAAAGTGAGAATAGGAGAGGCTGAAAAAGGCAGTCAGAGACAGAGATATACAGAAAACTGACTCCTGGAAGTCCTGATAGCCTTCTAGTTTCTGGTTCTAGTCTCTTCTGAGGTGCAACTCTAATTGTTGCCTTTGGGTTCCTTGAGATAATCCAGTCTTCTTCCAACAAATTCTCTTTATTTTAAAGCTAGTTTCAAGTGGCTCTCTTATACCCAAAGAATGCCTGCAACATTTACTATTTATATAACATATATATTTAATAATATACATATTATATATAACTTACAAATATATCTTAGCCCCATATATGTAGAGATAACAAAATATAAAGGCTACGTATGTATATGTTAAATAGATTAAATAATAAAATATTTAAGCATATACACACCTACATACACACACACGGATGTGTGCAACATACTCAAAAATAAAAAACCCTGGGAGAAAAATATCAGCATACTCAAATTCCATAATCTCTCCTAAATTTTTATCTGTTTGAACTTTTCAGCTCATTAAGTCTGATGTTGTAAAAATGCAACTTTTCTTCCTAGACTTCAGTTCTAATGGACCCAGAATTGTAAAAACTGTGGTATAGATTGATATCATAAGAGGAAACTAGCGATTATAACTTTCAGCATACTTACCTATCAGTTAAATTTAAAAAAAGGAAAATTAAACAGAAATTTACCAGCTCACAGAGAAAAAGAGTGAGTGGATGATAAGGCAGCTGAGACAAAAAAAAAAAAAAATAGTACAGACTATTCTTTCAAAAGTTTGGCTTCCTGAAAGCAGGAACTAGACGAAAACACTCTCAGCAATCATAACCCGATGTATTTCTGGTTCTCCTCCTGACTCTTTGACTGCTCTTTTTAAAACTGGGAAGTATAGTCCCTCCAACTTCACTCTTCTTTGTAAAGATTGTTTTGACTGTTCTGGGTCCTTTACTTGGCAATATAAATTTTGGGATCAGCTTGTCAACTTGTAGGAATTGTACTGAATTTATAGATCAATTTGAAGAGAACTGTCATATAAATTATACTGGGTCTTCCAATCCATAAACGTGGACTGTCTCTCAATTTACTTAGATTTTCTCAGCAGTATTTAGTGGATTTTAGTATACAAGTCTCACACTTCTTTTGTTCAATTTATTCCTAAATTGTTTGTTCTTTTTGATGTTACTGTGATTGGAACTGTTTTCTAATTTTCATTTTGGATTGTTCATTGCTGGTATATAAATAAACGACTGAGTTTTGTATAATTACATCCTGCAACCTTGCTGAACTTGTTTATTATTTCTAATAGTATTTTTATGGATTTCTTAGGATTTCTTGCACAGAAGATCATGTCACCTGTGAATAAAGACAGTTTTACTTCTTTCTTTCGAACATGAATGCCTTTTATTTCTTTTTCTTGCTTGACGGCATTAACTAGAACCTCTAGTACAATGCTGAATAGAAGAAAGCAGACATCCTTGTCTTGTTCCTGATCTTAGCGGGAAAGCATTCAGTCTTTCACCATTAAGTATGATCTTAGCTGTGGGTTTTTCATAGATGCTCTTTATCAGGTTGAGGAAGTTCCCTTTTATTCCCAGTTTGTTCAGAATTTTTATCATGAATGGGTGTTAGATTTTTGTCAAATGTTTTTCTGCATCTATTGTCCTTTATTCTATTACATTTTCAGATGTTAAAGCAACCTTGCATTTGTGAGGTAAAGCCCAACTGGTCATGGAATATAATCCTTTTTACATGTTGGTGGATTCAGTTTGTTAACATTTTGTTGAAGATGTTTGTGTCTATATTCATGAGAGATATTGTTCTATAGCTTTCTTGTAATGCTTTTTGTTTGATTTTGGTGTCAGGGTAATGCTGGTCTCACAGAATGAGTTGGGGAGTGTTCCTCCTTTATTTCTTAAAAAGAGTTTGTGAAGGATTGGTATTATTTCTTCTTTAATTATTTGTAAGATGACTGCTTTTTTTTTGCGGTACGCGGGCCTCTCATTGTTGTGGCCTCTCCCATTGCGGAGCATGGGCTCTGGACGCGCAGGCTCAGCGGCCATGGCTCACGGGCCCAGCCGCTCCATGACACGTGGGACCTTCCCGGACCGGGGCACGAACCCATGTCCCCTGCATCGGCAGGCGGACTCTCAACCACTGCGCCACCACAGAAGCCCTTTTTTTTTTTTTTTTTAATATCTTTAATCTTTGTGTCCTTCATTGCATCTAGCACAGGGTTTTACCCAAAAACCCAAAATATGCAGGAATGAACTAAATTATGCAACTACATCCAAAAAGTGGCTAAAACAGTATTTAAACAGCATCCTGAATTTCAACCAGAGGTACTTTTAAAATGGGAGAATACTATGAAAAACTATCACAACTAATTTTAAATTTAGGAAAACTTGAATATTTACTTACGAGGTAATAGCTCTCTATCAGCAGTCTCTGTGCAGCTGGGATAAGGATAAAATAGATGGCCTTTCTCTAGTGGGTATGGAATCATTCTAAAAGCTGAGTGAAAAATAAAATACATATGTTGACATTCAATTCAATCTCACTTTCATCCTCTACTACAATCAAAGCTATTTTGGAGACGTATTTTTATTAAATTTTCACATAGCGTTTTATTTTCTTTTTTACAGAGATATTTTAGATGAAAGAAACAAAGTACGCAAAGGAACAAATAAGGAGAAGAATAAGATCTATATAGAGAATCATGAATGGTCTGGCTGAAATAAAAAGGGAGTAATGGATGGTAAGACTAGCTGTGTCCTTCTTGCCTCAGTCTCCTTATCACAAACACAATAGACTTAACTCTCCACGTGTGAATTCCACTTCTTAGGGAAATCACATAACTGTTGTAGTCATAACTACTGGCAACCTAAGAGTTCTCAATGGCTCCTAACTTCATATGTGAGCTGTCATCAAGTTTTCTGTGAGCTTAATTTAGATCAGGGGTCACCAAAGTATCTAAATTAAGTACCTAAAGGGATCACCTTTGGCCAGACCTGGCCCACTGTTTTTGTAAATAAAATTTTATTAGAATACAGCCATGCTTGTTCGTTTATACATTATATAAGGCTGCTTTCATGCTATAAGAGTTGGGTAGTTGTAACAGAGACTATGGCCCACAAAAACTAAATATTTACCATCTGGCCCTTTACAGAAAAAGTTTACCCATCCCTCATCTAGATTATCATCAACTCCTACAAACTTCTGAAATCCTTATTGACCTACTCAACTATCAAAGATGAGATAAGGTTTTTGTTTTTCCCTTAGTCCTTGGCTCTAAAAACTTTTGTTAAAATATGGATTTTGTTTTGCTACAATAAAATATAGTGATTTTTCCAAAGTCACAGAGCAAATCAGTGGCACTAGGAAATCATTCATCAAGATGATTATTCATGAAATACAGAATAAATCATACACTTATTGAAAACTTCCTATGTGCCAAGCAGAACACTAGGCACTGAAGACACATACAAGGTGAATGAGATAGAGCACCTGGTTTTGAGAAGCGTACAGACTACTGGAGAAAAAGCAAAAGAAAGTCTAATTACCCCAAAACATCCAGCTCCTCAGTTTTAGTAGTCTCGCTTTCATTAATCTGTATATTGTCAGTATCAAGCACAGTGTCTGACCTCAGCAAGAATGCAGAGGTTCCCAAATTTTCTTGGTTCAAGGGCATGTTGTATCCTTCGTGTCTCAGTAATTTGCTATTGATGCCCCTACACTGAAAGAAATATCTAACAATTCCACTTATTAAGTAGTGGGTCTGATCAACTTCAAAAGTTTTTGTTCTAACAACTTAGCAGCGATATGAAAAAAATACACATAAATTAATGAAAATAATAGTTATTTTATTTTTAAATAACCATCTTTTCTTCCTAATGGGATATATGAGCCTGTTGGGCACTGCATAATTTCTTGAACCTTGGAATCACATTGGACACCACTATCCTCATTTCCTGTTCCACACTGATTTTTGTGTGGTATTTCTTTTAATCACAGCAACTAACAAAACCCAGCTTTGCAAAGCTATGACAACACTGAAAAAAAATAGAGAATGGAGAGCTATCTAATGTTGAAACCGTGAACTATCTAGAGCTACAGTTTGAATGGTGTATTGCTATGTTTCTACTAAAAATTTAAAATATCCCATGGCACTCTTGTGAATTTGCTATAATACCCAAAGGTGCCTCAGTGTAAACTTTGAGGAGGTTAACCAACTTTAGTGAATGAACATTGAATTTATTTTTGAATTTTCACTGACAGGTGATTTTAAGAAGTTACAAATGAGAGAGATCTGGTAGTTAGTGGAAAATAATCCACTTCTCCAAAGAAATGTATGAATAGCCAATTAACATATAAAAAGATGTTCAACATTACTAATTATTAGGGAAATGCAAATCAAAATCAGAATGAGACACTATTCCACACCCATTAGGATGCTATTACTAAAAAATCCAGGAAATAACAAGTATTGGCAAGGATATAAAGAAAGTGAAACCCCTGTGCAATGCTAGTGGAATGTAAAATGGTTCAGCTGCTATAGAAAATAGTATGGTGGCTCCTCAAAAGATTAAACACAAAATTATATGATCTAGCAATTCCACTTCTAGGTATACACCCAAAAGAAATGAAAGCAGGAACTTGAACAGATATTTATGCACCCACGTTCATAACAGCATTATTCACAATAGTCAAAAGGTAGAAACAGCCCAAATGTCCACTGATGGATGAATGGATAAACAAAATTTTGTATACACTTACGATGAAATATTACTCAGCCTTAAAAAAGAATAAAACTCTGACACATGCTACAACATTATGGTAAGTGAAATAAGCCATATATAAAAGGACAAATATTGTATGATTCCACTTATATGAGATACCTAGAGTAGTCAAACTCATAGAGACAGAAAATAGAATGGTTACCAGGGGACTGGGGAGGAGGGAAGATTGGGGAGTTACTGTTTAATGGGTAGAGAATTTCATTTTGGGGTGATGAAAAAATTTGGGGGAAGGATAATGGTGATGGTTGCACAACAATGTACGTGTATGTCACTGAACTGTACATTTTTAAATGTTTAAAATGGTAATTTTAATGTTGTATGTATTTTACCACAATTTAAAAAATATTTTAAAGAATCGAGTTGATATCAGTAATGAGGAAAATAGTTTCATGTTGTACACATCTCAAAACAAAACCAAAAAAAAAATCCAATTTTTAAAATATTAGAACAATAGCTAACCACATTAAAAAACTTATAAATGAAGGGATGTAAGTTTCCATTCTTTCCTTATAAATACTTAATTTAAGTGAACATACAGCAGAATACCCAAACAGTTTCTCATTCTGCTTTTCCTAAATGTGGCATTAATATAAGCACATTACATGTTTCTTCTACCAGTAAACCAATAAACACCACTGAGTTCACTTTGAAACCAATCTGAACAAGTCCTTAAAGAAACTCACAATCTCATTACAAAAAGACTGCCTGTGAATGGAATAATTAGTCAGAAAGATTAGTGTTGCATTTGGAAAAGAATACTTACTGCCTTCCCATGTACACTGTAACAGATTAAGAGCACCTTCTATTCGCTTCCAGTGCTGAAGATGAAAGAAAGCATAGGCAATTGCTTCACTATCGCCCCGTTTCAGAATGTGTTCTGGAGGTAAAATGAGACTTTTCATCTCTAGTAAATACTAGAAAAATAACACACACACATAGACACACCACAGAAAAAAAGAAAAATTATGCTAAATTCAAATATCCACAAAAGTGTAGATTCAAATTTTATAAAGTTAATTTGATTTTAAAAACAAACAAATATTAAGCTAGTTGAAATGACATGAAGGTCCTACTGACAAAATGCTTATATAAATGCAAATTCCAAAGATCAGAACATTCCTATAGGTAAAAATAAGGTAATAAATGGCTTATGTGTGACTTTACTAAACACAAATGGAAACTCAAGCTGAGGAAATAATGTTGGAGGAAATTACTTACTTTTCCAAAGAAGAATAAGTGTAAAAAATTATAAAACACAATTTTGGAATAACACGTTGTGGCAACATTCAATATTTTTTCTTTATTTCCCTTCTATAGTGAAGGAATTTAATTGTTAAGAAGTTCAATTAAATTAATATTTACTGAGTGCAAATCACTATGCTTGTTAGGGAATGCCAAAACACTATTCTCTAGAGCTTCCTAAGGTAATGAGAAAGACAGATTTCTTTTTCTATTTTCTCGGCCGCACTGCACGGCTTGTGGGATCCTAGTTCCCCGACCTGGGATTGAACCTGGGCCCCTGGCAGTTGAAAGCGCAGAGTCCCAACCACTGGACCACCAGGGAACTCCCGAGAAAGACAGATTTCTTAAGTTAAAAATTTTAACCAGACTGGGACTTCCCTGTGGTCCAGTGGTTAAGAATCCACCTTCCACTGCAGGGGATGCAGGTCTGATCCCTGGGTGGGGAACTAAGATCCCACATGCCTCGGGGCAACTAAGCCCACGTGCCACAGCTACTGAGCCTGCGTGCTCTAGAGCCCATGCATCACAACTAGAGAGCCCGCATGCTGCAACTACTGAGCCCATGCGCTCTGGAGCCCGCACGCCACAACGAAGGGTCTGCACACCACAAGGAAAGATCCCACATGCTGCAATGAAGATCCCATGTGATGCAACTAAACCCTACGCAGCCAAATTAAAAAAAAAAATTATAACCAGACTATGTTAAGTGTTTCACTAGAGGTATAGATGTATATAGGAATATGGATAGGAGGTATTTTTTAATTTAGTTTTTAATAACAGCTTTATTGAGATATAGTTTGCATGCTTTACAGTTCACCCATTTAAAGTCCACAGTTCAATGGTTTTTAGTATGTTCACAGATATGTGCAACCATCACCACAATTTTAGAACATTTTCATCACTTCAAAAGGAAACCCCAAATGTATATTGGTGCAGCCTCTATGGAAAACAGTATGGAGTTTCCTCAAAAAAACTAAAAATAGAGTTACCATATGATCCAGCAATTCCATTCCTGGGCATATATCTGGAGAAAACTATAATTCGAAAAGATTCATGCATCCCAATGTTCACTGCAGCACTATTTACAATAGCCAACCTAAAAGTCCACTGACAGATGAATGGATAAAGATGTTATACATATATACAATCGAATACTACTCAGCCATAAAAAGGAATGAAATAATGCCATTTGCAGAAACATGGATGGACCTAGAGATAATCATACTAAGTGAAGTAAGTCAGAAAGAGAAAGACAAATACCATATGATATCACTTATATGTGTAATCTCAAATATGACCCAGGGACTTCCCTCGTGGTCCAGCGGTTAAGAATCCGCCTTCCAATGCAGGGGACGCAGGTTCGATCCCTGGTCGGGGAACTAAGATCCCACATGCCATGGGGAAACCAAGCCTGCGTGCCACAACTACAGAGCTCATGCACTCTGGAGCCTGCGTGCCACAACTACAGAGCCCACGTGCTCTGGAGCCTGTGTGCCACAACTAGAGAGAAGCCCGCATGCTGCAACGAAAGATCCCCCATGCCGTAACTAAGACCTGACACAGCCAAAAGTAAAATAAATTTTAAAAAATAATAAATAAAATAAAATAAAATATGACCCAAGTGAACTTTTATGAAACAGAAACAGACTCATGGACATAGAGAACAGACTTATGGTTGCCAAGGGAAGAGGGGGTGGGGGAAGGATGAATTGGAAGTTTGGGATTAGCAGATGCAAACTATTATATAGAGGATGGATAAACAACAAGTTTCTACTATATAGCACAGGGAACTATATTCAATATCCTGTGATAAACCATAATGGAAAAGAATATGAAAAAGAATGTATATATGTGTATAACTGAATCACTGTGCTCTACAGTAGAAACTGACACAACATTGTAAATCAACTATACTTCGATAAAAATTTTAAAATAAGGAAACCCCATACTCTTTAGTTATCACCCTCTACACCCACAATCCCCCTAAGCCCTAAGCAACCACTAATATACTCTCTGTCTCTATAGATTTGCCTATTCCAGATATTTCATACAAACAGAATCACATAATATAGGGTCTTTTGTGACTGGTTTATTACAACCCATGTTGTAGCATGTATCAGTACCCCATTCTTTTTTGTGGCTGAATAATATTCTATTGTATGGACAGACCACAGTTGTTTATCCATTCATCATTTTATGGACATTTGGTTTTCACCTTTTGGCTATTATGAATAATGCCGCAATAAACATTTGTGTATGAATTTTCATGTGAACAAATGTTTTCATCTCTCTTGGGTTACCTAGGAGTGGAATTGATAGGCTATATGGTAATTCTATGTTTAAGAGGTATGAATTATGATTTAAACCACTTGATAGAATTTGGGATTTGAGCTGATATATAAAGACAGGTGGAATGTGGATGAGCAGGTTGGGGGGTATGGTGGGGAGAAGAATAGGAGGACATGTTCAATGTACAGGGACAACTTGAACAATTTTAACTCTTGAGACTTGAGAGCATACTGCAAGATGAGTGAGTGTGCCTGTTAAAGAAGTTATGACCTATCAATTCTTATTCACATATGAAATTAAATTCTAAACTCTTGAAGAAAATACTTGCCTTAATATTATAATCCATAACAAAAGCAGCATAATCAGTTACTGCACTAATCAAATATACTAATTACATGAAGAAAGATGCAAAATTACACTTGTACATCATCTTTACTATTAAAGTGGTCAACTTAAAACAAAATCTTTTAAAAAATATTTAGTTAGCTAACTACTTCTTCCAAAGACTGAGGCCAGAGTACACCTCCCCTACTAGACTAGGTGTGAAACAACCTCTTTGGGTTTCAATAATTTGATACCAAATTATGTGTCATATGGTCCAAACCACATTAACATCTATTATAAGATATAAAAAGAGAAACATTCCAAAGGTGTCTTAAAAGATATATTCTCACATTTCAAATTCTAAGTTCCTCAGGTCGTTACACAAGCTAATAAGATAGACAACATGAATTAAACAGTTGAATGTGTGAAACACTTTGTAAAACTACTACAAACAGGAAGAATTCTAAAAATAATTGAAGTGGTTTTAAATTTTAAGCCTTAGGTTATTAATCAATACATATGTACTCATGGTATTAATACATCTAAAGTAATTTTTCTTTTTTGTTTATGGAATATGCCTTTCCAACACTTACTGAGCTTAATGCTCATCTTGAATTACTCTTATTCCTATACCCCAATAAAGGTGAAATTAAAAAGCAAAAAGATAAAAAGAATAATTACTCTTAGTCTTGATGTCTCTAGCTCTCTTCTCAAAGTGTAAGAATGCAGTCTGCTTATCAATTTATTTTAGCAGATGTCACAAGCTATGAGATTATTTACTAATCCAGTTTGGGGACTTAACATTTCCCATTCAGTTTCTTAAAGGAATGCAGCAGAGGTTGTGTCCTGGTCAAGCAAAGCCCATTTGCTGCCTGGCTGGGTTCTCTACCCTTAGTGCCTTGGGCCTATATTCAGGAGGGTAATATTCTTTCTAATCCTCTTTAATCCTTGCCCATTTTTTAAAACACAGTAAAAGATCACTCGCACCAGGCGACTGTGGGAAAATGGACTCAAATAGCTGACCTCTGACACGACTCCTTATGCTCTTTGCAAGTGCACTAAGAGCTTCTTCAGTAGGAAGCAAAGAAAATGAAGCAAACACAGTGGAATCTCCATCATAAAAAGAATATCTTATTTTCAGAGAGGTTTAATACTTAAACCAAGTCCTTTCGATTAGAGTTCTGTTTTATTTTACAGATAAAAACATCTCAAATTATTTTCAATGTGTTTTAGAACCCTGAAGCTTTAGACTAAACCCTATCTTGGTAGCCACTTAGCAACTGGTAAGCAAAGATATTAAGTTAACAATTATTGAGTAAAACTTATATTATAAAAAGTATCAACTTAATATATCTAAAAATACTTCTGTTAAAAGCAACTATATATCTATACTTTCACTGAGTAATAATCTAAGTGACAATTCAGAATCAGATATGGTACGTTTATTAGGAAATAATACTTCAGGATTTTATATTAAAAATCTTCACTATTTAATCATTAAAAAACTGTTTCCTTATGCTACCTTATTTTTTATTATCATGTCTTACCTACCAGCAAATGCCCTCTACAATTTGACTTCAAAGAAATTCTTATTTTTCAGTTTCTGAAATAGGACAGTGAAATAAAATTTCACCCTCAAAATATAAAGAAAAACTTTCAGTTTAAAGAAAATATACTTAGGGACTTCCCTGGTGGCACAGTGGTTGAGAATCCGCCTGCCAGCGCAGGGGACACGGGTTCGAGCCCTGGTCCGGGAGGATCCCACATGCTGCAGAGCAACTAAGCCCGTGTGCCACAACTACTGAGCCTGTGCTCTAAAGCCCACAAGTCACAACTGCTGAGCCGGAGCGCCACAATTACTGAAGCCCGCGTGCCTAGAGCCCGTGCTCCGCAACAAGAGAAGCCACCGCAATGAGAAGCCTACGCACCGCAATGGGGAGCAGCCCCCGCTCACGTCAACTAGAGAAAGCCCGCGGGCAGCAACGAAGACCCAATGCAGCCAAAAATAAAATAAATTAAAAAGGCAAAAAAAAAGAGAAAATATACTTAAAATATGTAA